AGAGGTTTTGGGGGTTCCTCCATGTTCTAAGTAAGAATCCCACCAGCTATCTACGTGCATTTTGGAAAATCCTGTGTATATATAATATATTTTGAATATTGTAGTTGTCCGGCACTATATATTCATATAATAAAAACTTTCCAAACATGATGTTCGAATCGTATGTACATCGCTATATATATATATACACAGAGGTTTTGGGGGTTCCTCCATGTTCTAAGTAAGAATCCCACCAGCTATCTACGTGCATTTTGGAAAATCCTGTGTATATATAATATATATAGTTGCGTTTGTTAGCCCTGGGGGTTGGGGGTTCAGATTTTGTATACACAAATCTAAAAACATAGGGGGGGGGCCCTACAAAACCAGAAACATGTCATTTGAACATGAACATCTTCAATCTACAAAATCTTAACATGCAACCCCACTTGGGCTTACACCTGTCACCCCCTCCAAATCTACAAAATCCAAATCATAGAAATCCATCTGCTATATAAAGGCATTAAAAATTGATTCACAAAACCTTTAAAAATTGTTTCAGAAAAACATGCATTTTGTAGAGAAACCAGTGTTTGAGGTATAAAAATCAACTATTTTTCAATGACAGAAAATGTGGAATCATACATGTCAACTATTTTTGAAACCAAATGGAACCATATGAAATCAACTGAATTCATGGTCCAGCCCATTTCCCTACAAAACCAGAAACATCCGACAAAATCTAAACCATGGCCTTAAACTCCTGAAAACCAAAAACACTACAAAACCAGAAACATCCAAAAAGTCATCCCAAATATCAGCCCAAACATGGCTCCCTACAACATCTCAATCAGCTTGAGGAGCATTCAAGATACCATCACATGACTCTCAAAAAAATGGTTTGTTTCAAACGTCAACGTGCTAGATTTTGTAGGGGAAATAGGTGGGACTATTAATATATTTTGAATACTGTAGTTGTCCGGCACTATATATTCATATAATAAAAACTTTCCAAACCTGATGTTCGAATCGTATGTACATCGCTATATATATATACACAGAGGTTTTGGGGGTTCCTCCATGTTCTAAGTAAGAATCCCACCAGCTATCTACGTGCATTTTGGAAAATCCTGTGTATATATAATATATTTTGAATATTGTAGTTGTCCGGCACTATATATTCATATAATAAAAACTTTCCAAAACTGATGTTCGAATCGTATGTACATAGCTATATATATATACACAGAGGTTTTGGGGGTTCCTCCATGTTCTAAGTAAGAATCCCACCAGCTATCTACGTGCATTTTGGAAAATCCTGTGTATATATAATATATTTTGAATATTGTAGTTGTCCGGCACTATATACTCATATAATAAAAACTTTCCAAACCTGATGTTCGAATCGTATGTACATCGCTATATATATATATACACAGAGGTTTTGGGGGTTCCTCCATGTTCTAAGTAAGAATCCCACCAGCTATCTACGTGCATTTTGGAAAATCCTGTGTATATATAATATATTTTGAATATTGTAGTTGGCCGGCACTATATATTCATATAATAAAAACTTTCCAAACCTGATGTTCGAATCGTATGTACATCGCTATATATATATACACAGAGGTTTTGGGGGTTCCTCCATGTTCTAAGTAATAATCCCACCAGCTATCTACGTGCATTTTGGAAAATCCTGTGTATATATAGTATATTTTGAATATTGTAGTTGTCCGGCACTATATATTCATATAATAAAAACTTTCCAAACCTGATGTTCGAATCGTATGTACATCGCTATATATATATACACAGAGGTTTTGGGGTTCCTCCATGTTCTAAGTAAGAATCCCACCAGCTATCTACGTTGCATTTTGGAAAATCCTGTGTATATATAATATATTTTGAATATTGTAGTTGTCCGGCACTATATATTCATATAATAAAAACTTTCCAAACCTGATGTTAGAATCGTATGTACATCGCTATATATATATATACACAGAGGTTTTGGGGGTTCCTCCATGTTCTAAGTAAGAATCCCACCAGCTATCTACGTGCATTTTGGAAAATCATGTGTATATATAATATATTTTGAATATTGTAGTTGTCCGGCACTATATATTCATATAATAAAAACTTTCCAAACCTGATGTTCGAATCGTATGTACATCGCTATATATATATATATATACACAGAGGTTTTGGGGGTTCCTCCATGTTCTAAGTAAGAATCCCACCAGCTATCTACGTGCATTTTGGAAAATCCTGTGTATATATAATATATTTTGAATATTGTAGTTGTCCGGCACTATATATTCATATAATAAAAACTTTCCAAACCTGATGTTCGAATCGTATGTACATCGCTATATATATATATATACACAGAGGTTTTGGGGGTTCCTCCATGTTCTAAGTAAGAATCCCACCAGCTATCTACGTGCATTTTGGAAAATCCTGTGTATATATAATATATTTTGAATATTGTAGTTGTCCGGCACTATATATTCATATAATAAAAACTTTCCAAACCTGATGTTCGAATCGTATGTACATCGCTATATATATATATACACAAGTTTTTGGGGGTTCCTCCATGTTCTAAGTAAGAATCCCACCAGCTATCTACGTGCATTTTGGAAAATCCTGTGTATATATAATATATATAGTTGCGTTTGTTAGCCCTGGGGGTTGGGGGTTCAGATTTTGTATACACAAATCTAAAAACATAGGGGGGGGGGCCCTACAAAACCAGAAACATGTCATTTGAACATGAACATCTTCAATCTACAAAATCTTAACATGCAACCCCACTTGGGCTTACACCTGTCACCCCCTCCAAATCTACAAAATCCAAATCATAGAAATCCATCTGCTATATAAAGGCATTAAAAATTGATTCACAAAACCTTTAAAAATTGTTTCAGAAAAACATGCATTTTGTAGAGAAACCAGTGTTTGAGGTATAAAAATCAACTATTTTTCAATGACAGAAAATGTGGAATCATACATGTCAACTATTTTTGAAACCAAATGGAACCATATGAAATCAACTGAATTCATGGTCCAGCCCATTTCCCTACAAAACCAGAAACATCCGACAAAATCTAAACCATGGCCTTAAACTCCTGAAAACCAAAAACACTACAAAACCAGAAACATCCAAAAAGTCATCCCAAATATCAGCCCAAACATGGCTCCCTACAACATCTCAATCAGCTTGAGGAGCATTCAAGATACCATCACATGACTCTCAAAAAAATGGTTTGTTTCAAACGTCAACGTGCTAGATTTTGTAGGGGAAATAGGTGGGACTATTAATATATTTTGAATACTGTAGTTGTCCGGCACTATATATTCATATAATAAAAACTTTCCAAACCTGATGTTCGAATCGTATGTACATCGCTATATATATATACACAGAGGTTTTGGGGGTTCCTCCATGTTCTAAGTAAGAATCCCACCAGCTATCTACGTGCATTTTGGGAAAATCCTGTGTATATATATTATTTTGAATATTGTAGTTGTCCGGCACTATATATTCATATAATATAAAAACTTTCCAAACCTGATGTTCGAATCGTATGTACATCGCTATATATATATATACACAGAGGTTTTGGGGGTTCCTCCATGTTCTAAGTAAGAATCCCACCAGCTATCTACGTGCATTTTGGAAAATCCTGTGTATATACTATTATATACTATATTTTGAATATTGTAGTTGTCCGGCACTATATATTCATATAATAAAAACTTTCCAAACCTGATGTTCGAATCGTATGTACATCGCTATATATATATATATACACAGAGGTTTTGGGGGTTCCTCCATGTTCTAAGTAAGAATCCCACCAGCTATCTACGTGCATTTTGGAAAATCCTGTGTATATATAATATATTTTGAATATTGTAGTTGTCCGGCACTATATATTCATATAATAAAAACTTTCCAAACCTGATGTTCGAATCGTATGTACATCGCTATATATATATATACACAGAGGTTTTGGGGGTTCCTCCATGTTCTAAGTAAGAATCCCACCAGCTATCTACGTGCATTTTGGAAAATCCTGTGTATATATAATATATTTTGAATATTGTAGTTGTCCGGCACTATATATTCATATAATAAAAACTTTCCAAACCTGATGTTCGAATCGTATGTACATCGCTATATATATATACACAGAGGTTTTGGGGGTTCCTCCATGTTCTAAGTAAGAATCCCACCAGCTATCTACGTGCATTTTGGAAAATCCTGTGTATATATAATATATTTTGAATATTGTAGTTGTCCGGCACTATATATTCATATAATAAAGACTTTCCAAACCTGTATAATATGAATCTCATCCCAATTAATCAAACACCCACCAGAGTCCCCATGGAGGATGACCTCCTTTACAGCGTTGTGCTTCTTGGTCACCAAGACTCCGCCCCAATTGACGCAACATCACACCTCCTGTATATATAATATAAATATGCAGTGTTAAGTTGTATGTATGTATACATATACATATATTTACATGTACATATGATGGCGTGTTCTAAGTAGAGGATCCTCATATGTTCTAAGTCACTTAGAACATACGTCCCCTATTCGCCGAAAATGTTCTAAGTAGAGGGCGCGTACCCACCGAAAAAATTCCAAAACGATGTTCTAAGTAGTTGTCCGGCGCTATATAGTTGTTGGAGATACCAAGTCAGATGACAAACTGAGGCACCTTCTACCCAAGGAAGAACATCCGGACAAAGAATCATGGCACTGATGAAATCAAGACTGGGACTTGGCCACGCTTCAAACTGTTGCACTTCACCCAAAGTAAGTGATCCAATGGGATGCAGACTTGCTCAAAATCCTCATTCTTCATGGCAAAAATCACCTGACATTTCAAATTTAGAGGTTTAATCCATAGTTCCGTGATTGAAATCCCATGAAATCCCTCCTTTGATGGCAAAATCCCATGTTTCTTCCTGATGTTTCATCCCCAAAGCACAGAAAAAATCTACGCTTTTCCGCCACCCCTTCCGCGTCTGTGCCGCGTCTGTTCACACCGCGTGACATGGGAGGGGGTGGATCCACGGCAGCTCGCTGCAAGGCGCGGAGAGCCAGCAGAAGTAGCAGCAGAGTGATCCACTTTTGTTCCACCGCAAGGCTGAACGCTTCCTGCGGGCGAACTTCTGAACAAAAAAACATGACGACATGTGTGTATATATATATACGACGAAAAAACGGATAATTATATTGCTGTATATGCACATTAAACATGATATGTACAAATACACATCTTATAACATTAAAATATAATATATATACTGTATATAACACATGTATGTATGAATGGGAAAGCAAAATGTCTTGGGATCAACCAACTTGCGCTGGTTGCTCGCATGTGCATCCAATGTTGGATTGGAATGATCCACCATAGTTTTTCCGAAACCAACCAACATAGGGATAGTGTGATTCCTACACATTATGGATATAGTTACCCATATTAACACATGACACTATATTAATTGTTAACCGTGGTCAGTTGATACGTTAACCATGTCTAACATATCTAGCTGTGATTTCTCCACATAGGGATGTGAAGACAAGCAATTTGTAACGGAATCAACAGAGACCCGCCTGGCCCCATATGGCAATGGTAGGTTTTCCATACCCATTTCAGCAACACGTAACAAAAAACTGCCGTTCCAAAAGGCACCAATCCTGGCACCTAGAAAATCTATGATCTTTCCGAATCTTTCCCATTTAGCACAACAATTGAACGGAGCAGCCCAACGCAGTGAAGTACTTTCACTCTTTTGTGGTGAAGAACCACGGATTCCCGGCACATAAAACCACTATTTCTGGTTTCAATGCATGTTTCACCAAGGATCTAAGGCAACCATCACAGCATAAAACCAGGTGTTGCCCGGTCGCCAGTCATTGCGCGAGGCGAGTGCTCCAGCCTCGCAACTGAAGAAAAATTCGTGCAGTCTTCAGTTGGTGGCTTGAAGAAATCACAGTAAAATTGGGCATAAAAATTGACGTTGATTTGAGCAGAAATGGAAAACAATGGAAAACAAAAATAGAGATAGAAGCAAAATCTCAAATTTGTTGGCTTCAAACTGGTTCGATGCATATTTTGCATCGACAAAAGATGCCTCGATTGTCCCCTATGTTGATTGATGTTGGGTCAACTTACGTTCACCACCATGGGGCACCAAACGGCTTCCACAGTAGCGCTGGAGAGATACAAACAACTGGAGCCAAATACGACCCAGCTCCATTTGATCACAACAAATACGGACCTACAAGCAATTCTCATCAATTCTGCAGCATAGTGACAGTGCCATTCCAAATCATAAAAAGAATTGGTGGCCTAAGTTTATCTGGTTGGTGGTTTTATCCATCTTGAAAAATATGAAAGTCAATGGGGTTGGGATCATCCCATATATGAAATGGAAAATAAAATTCATGTTCCTAACATTTCCAAACCAGTTATTCAAGTTCAACCACCAATTGTTGGATTGTGACTTAGTAGTGGATACACGCATTGAGTCACCAGATATCCCCTGGGACAGTTTCATGGGAAGATGATCCCAGCGGGCCGACAAGCCTCTGGCTGTTGCAGCCTTGGTCCAGGTTACCAGCCGCTAAGGCCCAGAAAAAGACAGCCAGCTTAGGGGCAATCTACCCTTCTCACATCTATACATACATATAATATTATGTGTATATATATATAATTATATAATACATACATGTGTACACAACTACCCCAGTGGTACATCAACATGGACATGGGTTCTGTAGGAAACGATCAAACCAAAATGCTGGATGTTCCATGTCTGTTCGATCGTTTGTCGGGTAACTACACCCACACACAGATGTGGTACTTCGACTGTGCAATATGTTTAACGTGCTATACATACCGTACATATATTGACAAATCAATATCTATTGTATCTTGACTATGTATATATATAATTATATATATATATCTATACACACATAAAGATAACACGTGTATTGTACAGTCGAAAAACTCTTGATGTGCATCTAAATTAGTACATATTAGTGCAATAAATCACATCCCCGTAGACAATGGTTAAAACCTCGATAGCTATGATGATATTGTCATGTGACCGATGATAATAATTATCAATGTCCATAATTAACATCATCAAAATTTCAAATGGTTTAATCTCCCCATAGTTAATGGTTCAACAAGGTGATGACCCCTAGATGGCTAAGTTGACTTATAACTTGGTCAACGTTTGGGTTTATAGGGGAAATAGCAAACTAGTCAATGACTTTTTTTGCACCATCACCTTGTATGCATGGAAATTGGATTTCGATGGAAATATCTAGCCATGATATCCCATGTTGAATGATGTCAATGCTATCCAGGTTTTAAATGGATTTAAGCATTGATTACCTCCATATATTCCCATCGTCATGGTCATTTAAAATTTATTAGTTATAACGGGTTATTTCTATGGGATTATACATTCTATAAATGGGGTGACTTGTGAATGTACTTATAACATTTATAACTAATAAATGGCCATAACTGCAGATGTTTTTCCCTCCAACAGCGGCTCCACAAAAACGCCCAGCAGCTGCGCCGTGTCCGGCTCGCGGAGAAAAGGGCCGAGCCGAGGCCGGCGGCGACAGCGGTGACAGCGACGGCAAAGACCTGGGGCCGGTAAGTTAGATATAACTTGCGCCAGCAAAAATGGTGATTTGATAGATTTTCACAAGGATTTGAATGGAATTATATGGGATTGATTGGGATTCAATGGGATTTCATGGGGATTTATACAATGGGGTTTAATGGGACTTAATGGGATTTACAGTAATGGGATTTCACTCGCCAAGTGCTTGAGGGATATTATGATATTCAAATAGTTGGATGAGGTTGCAGACCAACTTCTAACTAGGGGGACTTTAGATTGCAGAGATAGTTCCGATTCGATCTGTCTGCATTATACATGTTCCCTGCAGTAGATGATAGGGAGCTCTTTTCGGATGACCACTCTTTTTGGCTTTTTGGAACTGCTACTGTAACTGGTCCGGAGCCGTATACCAGACAAACACCAGAATCATCTAGTAATCATCTCATACCCTCCGCTAAACACAACACAGGTGGCTGAAATGGACATGGCCATTTTTGCACACCCTACCAACATCTGGTTTGAAAACAGTGTAGGACTGCTTGGTGGTTTCAACCCCTTTGAAAAATATTACTCAATGGGAAGGATTATCCCATATATTATGGAAAACTAAAAAATGTTTGAAACCACCAACCAGAGGAGTTATAATAGACTTTGACGGTCAAACTGTCCTGTGTTATCCTTGTACACACAGAACACCCGCAGCTGGCCCGCAGCAGCACTGGACACATGCGGTTATGATTCTCGCAACGGCTCGACCCAAATAACCATATAGAGGAGTTTTGTCAGTAGCATTCGCTGCATCATTGTGCCTATATCCAGAGTCAAGGGATGTCTAAATACAACCTTTAGCTGTGCAGCTGTGCAGTAGATATTGTCTGCAACATCTGGTATACCTTCATTGATGGCAAATAAACCAACCAACCATTAAAATACGCTTCGTCTATGCATACTCTCGGTATCTGGATCACTGTTTTTAGCCACAACCACGACCTTTATGGTACATTACTAAATATGTGATGTAGCTCTGAGTATATATCGGTTAAGTAGGGTTACCCTCTGGTAAACTAACATAATTATGGAAAATCACCATTTTCAATGGGAAAATCCACTATAAATCACCATTTTCAATAGCTATGTTAGTCATTACCAGAGGGTACCTGTGGTTAGTCCACTTATATCTGGGGGTGAAAGAACCTACGTAACCTACAATCAGTAGGATGCACCGCCAAGTCCATACAGATTTTTGCGCTCGCCGATGATTTTTGGGCATATAACCCTATCAAACCACAACATATATATATATCCCCATTCACTGATCATTGATCTAACAGTTCACTTCTGAACCATTTTTAGATGTGAAATCATATATCAGAATAGTTAATCAGTTTGTCTGTGATTATATAAGCATAATATATGATTCTTATATAATATATATGGGTAATTTTCGATATTTCACTAATCTGAATTAAGACAATTTGGGAATGATGTCATTTGCTAACCATGATTCCACTGAGGGAGAACAGTGAGGTTGTTATAATTTGCCCAAATACGTATATATATATATATATACATACACACACCCTCTGGTTATTTAACATAGCGATGAACAATGGCCCATTTATGGATGATTCATGATGATTTACCATAGCTACGTCAAATAGCCAGAGGGTAATCCCAATATTCACATTATTGTTCCATTATTATCCCAATATTAATCCATATGGTTCATAATCCCATGATTGTTCCATTATTGTCCCATGATTGATGAATTATTTATCATAAACCACCTGGTGAAATTACCAGGCAGGTGGATCGTTTTTTGGCCAAAGGTCTGCGCAGGGCCCGCAGGGTCGCGAAACGAGGGAAACGTCTTGACCACCTGGGAGCCAATGGACAAATTGGTGCTGGGATGAGCAACCCAGGGATGAAATAGGTATCATTACAACAACTGATGAAAATGTCATTGATGGAAAAATCACCATCATTAATAACCATAATTATTAATAAACATCACCATTAATGGGCTGAAAATCACCATCATTAATAATCTGGTTGGTGGTTTTTCGCCACCCCTCTGAAAAATGATGGAGTGAAAGTCACTTGGGATGATGACATTCCCAACTGAATGGAAAGCCATAATCAAGCCATGTTCCAGTCACCACCAACCAGAATGGATTGGTTTCAGGGAAAATTTGACCAGGAAAACCGGGGAAAGCCATGCGGCTTCCTGTAGATGTTCACGCTGGACATGCCCATTGGGATGAACAATCCCCACCCAAAAAAATAGCTATGTGAACACATATTAATCAACTTAGGGTTGTTGACTAATAGTTGATACAGCTATGGCCATTTACCAGTTATAAGTGGTTATTTCTTTGGGATTATACATTCTATAAATGGGGTTATAAGTACTTATAACTGATAAATGGCCATAACTGTAAATAGTTCTGATTAAGAACTAACAGTTGATTAATAGCTGATTCTGGGTTGTTGACTAGTTGATTAAGAAACCCATGGCTATGGTATAGTAACTCCCCCAAAGAAATAGACGTTGGTAAAATCCAACTCCTTAACATAATGGTCAACTGAAGCTGTTCTATCTTTACTATGAATTATTGATCAACCCATGCGTGAAGGTTATATAGTTGATGAATAGTTGATGAATAGTTGATGAACAATCCTGTAGCCTATAGCTATCTTAAAGTTTCATGGAAAACTGAAAATGGGACAAAATTCTTTTCTAAACAAAATGCAGCCAGGGATTAGCAATCAAGAGCCAGGTATGTTTAACATACATAGTTTTGGAATTGCTAATCGTTTATTAATCAAGAACCCAGGAATCATATTAAAATTGTATTCATCCCTGGGCTGATCAATGATTTAACATAGCTATGGGGACATCACCAGTTTAATAGGTAAATCGTCGAACTAAATGGGACGTTTTCATCCATTTTCCATATAGCAACTTGTGGAATTGCCACAGGGTACCCCCCTAACACTCACTCGGGTCCTCATGCCATGAATCCCATACCAGCCCTTTAGCACACCCCCAAGAACCATGGTTTGGTAGGGCATTTTCACAGAGGGACTAATGAAGCGGAGTTTAAATTGGGAGTGAAATTACCAAGAATTGTCTTCAAAGAACATGTTCTCTTTTTCAACTCGGTCCAACGCAGATGTTCAATGAAATAAATGACCAAGCCCGGAAAACCATGAGACAATTGTTTATGCTGCCGTCATGACTAAAAAACACACCCAAAACATGAAACACTTAGGGACTACATGAAACCTGCAACCCCAGCTATGTGTGCTTCAGTGTGTTTCATTCCACCAACATCACCTCAAAAAATTCAGTGCTTCCAACGCCGTCAAAAGTGACACTGATTGCAACAAAAAGCCGTCTTGTGACACCCAGGATCCATCCATCGACCGTCAACGATTGCCGAGGTTCCCTTGGCAACAACATCTTCCCAGCAGACACAGAGTCAAGACAGCTGAGTGTGCCATGAAGAGCATCAAGGCTGGCCTGGGCGACCATGGGAATCATGGGGAAATCATGGGGGAAGCATTCCCATATGCGAACCATGGTGCTGGAACATCTACCTACAAAACTGGGCAATTTTGGGGGTAAATGTAGGTAAATATACCATACATGGAGCATATGGGATTTACAAAAACTTACCCAAAAACGTGATGATGCAAACCAAGCGTGGCTATCTAGCTGTGGTCAATGTACTTTCTAGGAGAAAAACACATAGATCTGCTTGCAAGATGGCCGAGAAACTGTTGCAGGCGTTGCAACAACCCCAGGTACCAACTCACAAGACATCCAGTTACCAAGTTCCTATCTTGAATCGCTAGTTAGTTCTTCGCTAAATCACAGTTCGAAATCTGGAAGTTCTTCCAGGTTCTTCCAGGTGCTCTTCCCATTCCATGCTCTTCCCAGTTCGATCGGCGCCGACCGATCATCGCCCGGCAACTTCAGAGAGCTTCGGAGTAGAGCGAGGGGACAGGCGATCCTGGGCTGGGCGGTAAATCCATGAGCCCCGAGACGCCGTAGTGGTACGCCGTAGTGGTACGCCGTAGTGGTACTCACCATAACATGTTCAAACATGTATGATCCGTGAAAAAATGGATGATCCTTGAAAGCATAGTAAGTTGGAGGATCCTTTAGGTACCACTTTTGTATGGATGATCCTTGAAAGCATAGTGTTCAAACATGTTCAAACATGTGTGAAAACCATGAGTCTATGAAACAAAACTAAAACCCGAAACCGTGGAGACACAGTAAACAAGGAGAACGCACTCCAAACCACAACAGCTTAGTGGGATCGTCATCCGACTTGTAGAGATGGGTAAATATGTGTAGGACCATAAAGCAGTAAATCCATATCATATGACTCTTTGATATAGTAAATCCCCAAAAAGATAAAATGACACTTCACCACTTTATCTCGGTGGAAACTTATGTTTGTTATTTTTGCGATTTTGCGGTGCCCTTGAAAAAAATAACTTCTCCAAACATTCAACCCCACCTTGAAACGATGAAAATCGATTCATCCTCAACCCCGCCCAGGGCCCAGGGCTTCAGCAAAGCTGCAATGCAATCAAAAGGTGCATTGGACCATCCCGTACCTCGGATGAATCCATGCCATGGCCATGGCATGTTCTGAAAGCCATGGCAATGAATGCCATAGTTACTGCTTGGTGAAAAAATGAATGTCTTAACTATCTTAACTGGTATTTACAAAATAGTTGTTTTATGATAGTAAAAAAAATCACACTATATGACTATATGACATAGTTCCTTGGCCACGAGATTGAAATATGCTCTTCTCTGGATTTAACTTGCAATTGCCATCAATTACCTGCATGAAACAGCCAACTCTGTTAGATTGCGTTTAAGAACACGGGAAGCACAGAAGAAAAATCCAATCTCCAGATGGTCTCTAGAGATGGTCATTCCAAACTCTTGCGGCTTGCGTGACCTGTCTCATTTTTTCCCGAGAGCGTCTGAGCGCAGGGTTCTTCCAATAGTGGGGGTCTGTAAAACATCTTCTCATCTTCACATCTCATCTTCACATCCTCTCATCTTCACATTTGCTCATCTTCACATCCTCTCATCTTCATATCCTCTCATCTTCACATCTGCTCATCTTCACACCTTCCCATCTTCACATCTGCTCATCTTCACACCTTCCCATCACATCTGCTCATCTTCACATCTGCTCATCTTCACATCTGCTCATCTTCACATCTTCTTATCTTCACATCTTCTCATCTTCACATCTGCTCATCTTCACATCTGCTCATCTTCACATCTGCTCATCTTCACATGTTCTCATCTTCACATCTGTTCATCTTCACATCTGCTCATCTTCACGTCTGCTCATCTTCACATCTTCTTATCTTCACACCTGCTCATCTTCACATCTGCTCATCTTCACATCTGCTCATCTTCACACCTTCCCATCTTCTCATCTTCACATCTGCTCATCTTCACATCTGCTCATCTTCACATCTGCTCATCTTCACATCTGCTCATCTTCACATCTTCTTATCTTCACACCTGCTCACCTTCTCTCTCACGCCTTCTTTTTATCTTTCTCTCTTAAGGCCGAGGGTGGTGCCGGCGGCGAGTCACGAAACGCCAACCCTTTCGCACGAAATGAGGGTCGATCGGCAAAAACTGAGGTAAAATTGCGATTTGACTTGCCCCGGAGCAACCCTTTCGCACGAAATGAGGGTCGATCGGCAAAAACTGAGGTAAAAATTGCGATTTGACTTGCCCCGGAGCAACCCTTTCGCACGAAATGAAGGTCGATCGGCAAAAACTGAGGTAAAATTGCGATTTGACTTGCCCCGGAGCAACCCTTTCGCACGAAATGAGGGTCGATCGGCAAAAACTGAGGTAAAATTGCGATTTGACTTGTCCCGGAGCAACCCTTTCGCACGAAATGAAGGTCGATCGGCAAAAACTGAGGTAAAATTGCGATTTTACTTGCCCCGGAGCAACCCTTTCGCACGAAATGAGGGTCGATCGGCAAAAACTGAGGTAAAACTGCGATTTTACTTGTGCCGGAGCAACCCTTTCGCACGAAATGAAGGTCGATCGGCAAAAACTGAGGTAAAACTGCGATTTTACTTGTCCTGGAGCAACCTTTTCGCGCGAAATGAGGGTCGATCGGCAAAAACTGAGGCAAAAGTGCGATTTTACTTGTGCCGTTCTTGTCTGTGTGTAAAAGTGCCTGTGTGTAAAAGCGTCTATGTGTAAAAGCTTCTGTGCGTCAAAGCGTTTGTGTGTAAAAGCAGCTCCTGTCTGTAAAAAGGTCTGTGTGTAAAAGTGTCTGTGTGTAAACATGTCTGTGTGTAAAAGTGTCCGTGTAAAATCAAAAGTCTGGATGAAGGGTTTTCTACCTTCTCAATGGTATGTGCCTGTCTCAACCCTCCTCCCTGTATCAAAGGTGCTTTCTTTTTCCCCTCCTCAAAGGTCCTGGTTTCCCAGCCGTATTCCTGGAAAATTTTCCCATATTCGAAGGATTTCTCAGGGCCAAGTGTTTTCCCACAGTGAAGGGTCGCGCTCAAGGCTGCAAAAAAAAAAAAAAACTAAAATCCCGGAGACAAACCCATACCCCGGGGAAGAACACTTGCCACCGAACATTGCAAATATGCATAAAACATGCTATGTGTTTTTCTCAATGGTATGTGCCCGTCTTAATTTTTTATTTTATTTTATTTTATTTTTTTCTCCCCGGAGGTCCCGGAGAGGAACCCTTGGAATTTCTTCCCCCAGAGGTCCCGTAGAGGAACCCTTGAAACCCTTTTGCTCGTTTTTTTCTCTTCGTCGTCTTTCGTCGTCCGTCGTGTTTCAATGGGGATACTTGAGACAGACACTTGACCTGAGCAAGACCACAAACGAGAAAGTACCTTGGCGCAGACCTTCGATAAAAGCGTCTGTGTGTAAAAACATCTGTGTGTAAAAGCGTCTGTATGTAAAAGCTTCTGTGGGTAACAGCTTTGTGTGTAATAGCCTCTGTGTAAAAGCTTCTGTGTGTAAAAGCTTCTGTGTGTAAAAACTTTTGTGTGTAAAAGCGTCTGTGTGTAAAAGTGTTTGCGATGCAAACTATTGTCTTGCACTTCTCACTATTTTGTCTTGCTACTTCTCTTCTCGACTGCCTATAACACATCTTTCATATATTGTTTGTAAAATTGTGTCTCCATACTAACAAGAGAAGACCTTGCTCCTCTACGCTCTCGGGCCATCCGTCGTCTAGTTTTGTGGCCTTTTCGAGATCAGCGATTGAATACATGCAATCCAATTAGAGTAGTCGATTTTTCAACATGATGGGTGCCAAGGTCTTGACCCCATTGGGGTCATTAGTTAACCAATGAACCCATTAATGGGTCATTAGCTACCGTCTGGTAAACTAACATATATAGCCATTAAAAATTGACCATTTATAGTGGATTTACCCATTAATAGCATGGTGATTTTCCATAGCTATGTTAAATTACCAGAGGGTAGAACCCATTAATGGGTCATTAGTTAACCCATGAGTCCAACATATCCAATCTGGGTCAAGACCTTGGCACAATCGGCAGAATCGACTCAGGGGCCTAATGAGGTGGAACATGGTGGGACCCAGAAGCGGAATCTGATTGCCGGTCATGATAGAAAACCAGCAAGGCACTGCAACACAATTTTTTAGGTAATATAAACCCCAGTAACCATAGTGAGAAACACCATAAACAATAGTTATTCTAGATATTTCTAGATCATCTAGCTTTAAACTAACTTAGCCAACTGCATGGGGCACCGGATTGGCAACAGCCTCCGGAGAGCACCAACAGCTCTCCTTTTTTGTCGCGGTTCAAAGCCCCTGACTTGATTCAACGGAGTTCACCAAAACGAGGTGCCAGTCAGCGGCTTTGAGAGCTACAGGCGTTCGTGTACACTAGAGTACATATCTTTGATAGTTAACCCCCATAGAACCTCCATTTTAGTTGGTGGTTCAATTCCTATGACCCTCTCGTGTCATCAAACACGCCTGGCTGTAAAATCATCTTTCAAAATGGAGCTGCTGGGAAAATTATGGAAATAAATGAAGATTTTGAAATTTTGAAGCATGCCATGATTGCTTAACAAGAATGCATATCCCCATTAAATCGCCATTGACAGTGGTTAAAGCCCATTAAATCACGATTAAATCCACATTGAATCCCATCAAATCCACATCATATCCCATCAAACTCCCGTTAAATCATCATCAAATCCCCATGAATGTCCCATACTTAGATGGGCCATGGGAGTTTTTGGGGGTAACAAATCCCCAGCTACTAACCAGGAATCGCGTTTTTCCCATGGCCCATCTAAGTAATAAACTCCTTCACTGCCTAAGGCCGGAGCATTAAAGAATCGATATCGACACTGCCAGGCCAATTGCCCCAGCTCCAGGGTCAACAGCAGGGGCGCGCTCCTGGCAGGCGGTAAGAATAAGAGTTGTATCATTATAATAGCTATCATTGGAATAGGTATCTTTATAGTGTACAAATAAATCTAACTATATATATATATATATATACATATATATATATATGATTATATATGTATGATTATATTATACATGTATGTATTCTCATATATTGTTTCCATTTGTTCAGAATAGGTGTATCTAAAGTAATCATTGGGATGACTCGAATTGAAACAATCATTCTGGGAACAGGTATGTCACATAGTAATCCGCCAAAAAAAACAACACGGAAAGTCAACTGCAACTGCTACTTTGGCAGGATTTAACCTAATTCAATCTTATTGGTGGGGTGCTATACAGCAAAAGAATCTGTGCACACCCTTCTTCTATCTGTTCAAAGCTTCAAGGATCAAAGCAACATGATGTCACCCTCCACTACATCACATCACATCATGCAGCCCTTTAGGGTGCGGCAAAGGCGCATGAGGCATCCCAACCTCATGCAGAAGTCAGTGGATTGGTCGAAGGGAAAGGTCTGTAGAAAGACACGTTTGTCATCATAAAATTCATGTGTCTACTGCAGATGTTCGCTTCAACCAATTCCCAATTCTGGGGAGAAAACAATGTAGGTCATGTTTACTGCCAATGGGTCATTCAATCATTTGTGTCTGTCTTTCAGGTGCCTATACATATATACACACACCTATAATTATCACCCCACAGATCAAGAAAAACAGTCGTTGGCATGAGCCTTCCTTCACACACCTAATGACTTCTGAGAGGGGCCGCTGTCTCAAACCCAAATCTGGCCAGTGCTTTCAAGCCGGGCCACGGAATGTGCATTGGGGTTCAAGCAACCTCCCAGGTGACCCTCGGCAATGATTGCAATCAAGATATCTCTGGTAAATAAACACTAATTATGGAAAACAACAATTAATATATCGTGGTTTATCGGGTTTCCCACATTTTGCTGGTTTATAAACCCCATTCACTATAGTTATAAGATGTTATAAGTATCATAAACCATACTTATTGAAGTTATGTGGCCCCCAACTCCCTTCGAGGTCCAAGACACATGAGTGCTCCCTCTCTGCACCAATCGGTGGGCCGATACCAGAGCGCGAGCTGACAGATCGGTAGGATCGCTAAAAGTCCCACAGGCAGGAAGCAAGTAAAGGGCAGGTCACCTCAAAGGATACTTTTCTGCTTTTCCCAATGAACAGATTCTGGTTGGTGGTTGACCTACCCCTCTTTAAACAATATGAAAGTCAATGGGAAGGATTATCCCATATATGAAATGGAAAATAAAACATGTTTGAAACCACCAAGCAGTATTTAGTGGTGACTTCATATTTCATGGGAATCGCAGATGGGCTTTTTTATGGGATCTAATTGTCTAACAATCAAATGACAAGTTAATGGAATATAATGGGATTTTACTTTATCAGGGCTCCGAAGATCCCAGGTTATTTTTTCGGTACAAGGGGGGTAACTTGGGTATATACATATAGACATAATATGAACCAACATAGACCTCCCATGTGGCAATCACTTATAATCAGTTGGAGCAACTGTGCCTTTTGTTTACCCAAAAAAAAGTTTGGGACCTGAAAAAACAAGGTACTTGGAGGTGCAGTTGAGGTTAACATTATTAGTTTTAACCCCTAGAAGTTGGGATACAACATGATACAAACCCTATAACATCCTATAACTATAGTTGTGTAGATAATGTTACGAGTATCTATCCACTTCTCATTGGAACTGCCCAAGTCAGTCAACAGAGTTGCCGTGTCTGTGATGAGTTGACTGCGCGAAACACACATCAACGGAACTTGGGGGAAGAAACCACATATAGACAGAACCACAAGGGTCTCAACCCACTTCAAACCGAAGTGGGCTAGCTACATACAGACCTCTTTGATGTACAATCACTACAGTTATGGCCATGGCTATTAGTTATAACTGGTTATAAAACTAATAAAACTATGGGATTATACATTCTATAAATGAGGTTATTTCAGTATACTTATAACTCATAAAGAGCCATAACTGTACACACTTATTTCAGAACAAATCCCTGTAGTTGGTGCTTCAGCATCCCTCGCATGCCAACTGGCCAACTGTCAAGCCATCATAAAACACTGCAGGTGTCCCTTTTTCGCATGATCACTGGTGTAAAGTAAAAAAAAACGTGTGTATAATACCATCTGGTTATTTAACATAGCCATGGAAAATCCCTTATAAATGGAGGTTTTAATGGGAAAATCATCTATAAATGGGCCATCTATACCATGGCTATGTTAAATAACCAGAGGGTATATCATCCGCATCCAGTTTCGAAAATGCCAAGTGATCATCGGATTTTTAGCCATCGAAACAGGCAAACCATCGAACCGATCGAACCGATCGTTGTTGATTCAACATGTGCAACTTCTTTCAAATATCTGCTGCATAGAGTCAATAATTCAAGGAATAGTGACGAATAGTGATATACTAAAATGAAAATAGACAAATGCAGTGTCTGTAGATTCAGATTCATCACTTGCCCTCTGATAAACCCACATATCAATAGAACATTGCCATTTGTAGTTCGCAAACTGTTAGTTTACCAGAGGCTAAATCCCTTGATATATCATTATCACCCATTCAATCTCCATTAAATCCCATTACATTCAGATCATTTCAGATCATTTCAGATCCGTCAGTTTACCAGAGTGGTACCAACTGAATTATATTCCCCATCGATTCCGGTAGTGACTTTTCGCATCGGGAAAAATAAGCCAAATCATCGACTCCAGGTCATTACAATTCTATCTCTCATTAAATCCCCATTAAGTCCCGTTGTGTCTGCTTATATTCCCATAAACTCTCATAAAATCCCATGAGATTTCCATTATATTTATTCACGTTAGATTCCCATTACATGATTATTCCCATAAAATCCCAAACAAATCACATTGCATCCCCATTAAATCTGACTGGATTCCCGTGATATCTCAGTATATTTTGATTAAATCCCGTGAAATTCGGATTCATCATATACTGGTTGGTGGTTTGCACCCCTCTGAAAAATATGAGTTCGTCAGTTGGGATGATTATTCCCAATATATGGAAAGTCATAAAAACCATGTTCCACACCACCAACCAGTATAGCAACTGATTCCAAGTGACCATAGAAACACCTGCATCCCAACAAGAGCACCGTGGCGAGGAGTTCTGCCACATGTCGCGCCAGTCGCCAGGTGTCACTGGTGAAGAGCCGCTGCAGCACGCGGCGCTCCGGCGGGGCACGGTGGGGCGGCAGCGAGATCAGAAGCACCGCCAGGGTATGCAACCTCCGGGCGATCTCTGGAGTCATACCTTTCAATGTCCTACCTTTTCAATGACCTTTCAATTATATACAGTATATATATAATTATATACTGTATATATATACAATATATATATATACATGTATGTATGTATGTATGTATGTATGTATGTATGTATGTATGTATGCATGCATGTATAAACTAAATGATATTCATGAACAACTGAGGTAAGTTTCAGTTCCCATGCATGCTGAAAATAAGGCTGGCCAATGAGGTTGTAGGGTCATCGCAGGAATGCTGACTCGCGATTTCTTGTCATGGTTAGTATCAAATCAGTTTAACCGTAGATATATCTGACTGACTTACCAGTAGTACCGCACAAGGCGGTGGCGGTGGCGGAAGTTTCAAAAATGGAAAACCTATAGGAGAGGTGAGTTGGTGTGACGCAAAAATGGCAGAGCGAACCCACTGATGGATTGAAAGGTGGTTGAGTGTTTCTCCCTTTCTGTCTCTCTTTCTCTCTGTGTCTCTCTTTCGCCATCTATCTACAGAGCTACCTTTCTAGCCATCTACCTATCTACCTGTCTATTCATGTATCTATCGATCGATTTGTTTATTCACCTATCTATTAAACTGTCTATCTTTCTGTCTATCCAGCCATTCGTCCATCCACTTACTTCTCTCTGTTAGTTTTCTCTTTCCGTCCATCTCTTCATCGATGCATGTCCACAGCTATCCATCACCATGTTCTTCGTTCTGTTTCTCTATCGATTCATCCATGCATCTGTCCGTCTACCTCTTCTTCCAGCTATCCATCCATCTATCTACCCATGCGCTTATCTGGTCATTGACGCTTCTAGCGATCTTTCGATCTAGCGATCTATGTGTCCATCTGCTAGACTTCTGTTGGCAACATCAAAAAACGAAGCAATTCTGCGATACTTTCTCACTTTTTGCAGTTGAAAACATCACAAACGAAGCAATTCTGCGAGACTTCCTTCAAAAATGGAAAGTTGACTGTACAGCTGACGGCCTCGTACCAATGCGTTTTGCGCTTTTCCATGCCATGTCTCTAAAGTATTGCGCCTGCCACGAAAAAGTTAGTCCAGGTCATACGAAATGCTGCACCTGTCACGAAAAAGCATCTTGGCACAGCTGATGATTTGATACGCCAAAATGCAACCCCTCTCAGGAAATCAGCTCCTTGAGCTCCGAACATCTCTGCTGAAGATGCCTCTTGTACTGCGCCTGCCACGAAAAATGCATCTGTGCAGATCGTCTTCAAATCTCCCACGCGTGCCATCGTTTTTGAAAATGCTACAAAACCCTCACGTTTTAGTCACTTTTCAGTGGATGCACAATCCACTCCACCTGCCACACAAAACGACGTCTGAACGTCCAAAATGTCTCCGAGACCCTCTGTTTTTAACACTTTTGACACTTCGAAATGTGCTTCGCGCCACAACGCCGTGCACTTTTTCGACATCTCAACTTCCAAAAGTGCTCCGAGACCGCCAGTTTTTAACACTGTTTACTTCCAAATGTGTTTCGCGCCACAACGCCGTACACTTTTTCGACATCTCAACGTCCAAAAGTGCTCCGAGACCGACAGTTTTTAGCACTTTTTACGTCCAAATGTGCTTCGCGCCACAACGCCGTGCACTTTTTCGTCATCTCAACTTCCAAAAGTGCTCCGAACCCCTCAGTTTTTAAAACACTTCCAAATGTGCTTCGCGCCACAACGCCATGCACTTTTTCAACATCTCAACTTCCAAAAGTGCTCCGAGACCGACAGTTTTTAACACTTTTTACGTCCAAATGTGCTTCGCGCCACAACGGCGTGCAACTTTTCATCTCTCATCTCCCCAGATGTCTCCGCACCCGCCGCTTTAGCGAGCCTACTTTTCGACCCTCCGGAGCCACAAAACCACGAAAAAACACAATGTTTCGCGACTTTCCTACCTTTTCGCGCACCTGCATCTTCTTTCTTCTGATCTTTTCTCTTCTGACTCTTCTCCCTGCTGACTGCTTTTTCATCTCTCCATATTGTCGGAAGTTTGACTTCTAAACTTCCTTCGATAATAATTCACAAACCTAAAAATAACAAAATGAGTCCTTTTGGGAATGATTCCCCTTACATGCCCTTGCCCTTATGATTCATCCAGATATATACATTGGTAAGCTACATGTGAACTAAGTATGGATCCAAGTGAGGACAGAGTGAGCTGCATTTAGATAAGTTTTGCAAAGAACATGAGACCCAACTGGCAAGACACGTGCTTTGTCCCTGCAAGAAAAAAACAACATCACCAGCGGAAGAATAGCTTGAGCAACATTTAACCTTGGAAAACTGACAAACACATGATGGTTCGAGTAAAAAACGTTGATATTTTGCAAGATTTTTGTTGAATATTTCAGCAGACATGAGATTGTGATTGAACTCACAAACATGAGATTGTGTCAAATTGTCAAACTAAATAGGTTGTGAAAGGGATTTGACCAACAACAACTAGGGATTTGATTGGGCTCGACTCGTCTGAACTAAAATGGCTTTGAAAACATATTTCGTTCGATAGTTTTGAGATGAGAAAAAACTGAATAGTTCATTAATTATATTGTCAATATGTCACTGAATGTGTTGAGCGATATGTTCGTAGTTGCGGCTGAGAGACAAGAAGAGGCACCTCGGCAGAACAAAACAAATCATAAAATCAGGACTGAGCATAGGGATATATAGGGATTGAAACAAACACATCAACCAGGCAGGTTGAGAAACACAAATTGTGAAGTTAACAAAATACTGCAAATGACATGATGCTTGTTTCCAGAGGCACGGCTTAAGAACGTGCTGATGGAGAATGATGAATGGTGGCACAATACATGACTGGTTGCTGGTTTCAACCCCTCTGAAAAATATTAGTCAGTTTGGATTATTATTCCCAATGTATAGAAAGTCATAAAATTCATGTTCCAAACCACCAACCAGATGATGAGAATGAGTGCCAACCAAGTGCAGCGATTGCTGCTGAACTGTCCAGTCTCAGCCAAGCCTTTTTTCGAAGCCAGCAGTACAAGTGGAACGAACAGCGGTGAAAAAAAAACTTTATCAAGCTTCCAGGGTATATCACTAAAATTATCTGTGTCCAAATTGGGAGAGCTTCAATTATCAATTTATGAAACACATTCAAATCATTCAAGCAACTTTAGAACATGTTCTTAAACCCGAACTATTTTCTTATCCGTGGAACTCCATCCCTTCAACTCACATCTTCATGCATCTCCTGCCAGCATCCCAATTATCCCGAAACTTATCCAACACCCATCCAACAGCAATCCCATGCAAACACATCCCATCCCATCCATGCATTCATCCGTTATTTCATCCAAACAATGTGAAAATTCATCCAACAACCCAGCAAATGTCACCCGCAAACATCTATGCAACACATTTCAACCAATCCATCATCTGCCAGATTCTGCCAGCACACAGCAGCATGCCAGCGATGCTGCTCCACGTGCTGCTTTCGTTCTGCCACTCGGGCGGCTCTGTCGATCGTTTCAGCCAATTTTGCCAATGTCGCCAGTCGTTTGTCTCCAAGGGGCTTGGGACGGGGCGCCTGCAGCGTTTTGCCAAGTCCGATGCGTTCAACGTGGGAACTCAATGGGGAAGCTTGTTCAAGGTGGTGCCACAGGTTGCTGGCAAAAATTGTTTATAAGTTTATAAGTATCATTGGATTGGTCTAAGGGAAAAAACAGGAAACACCCCATAATTAAAGCAAACAAAAAATTGTTTCCTGTAGATTTTCACTTAAACCAATCCAAAAAAAATGTAGAATATATAACTATGAAGCACTAGGTTTTATGCATAGAATTATGAACAAACTTTTAACCAGAGGGCACCACTGCGGCAGCACCTTTTGAAAAACAAAGAATCTATGGGGATCATTGGGTGTCTGGGACAGGAGAACAAAAAGGATGAAGGCAAACAAAACTTCCAACAGACATCCACAGAAACGCCTTGTTCGAAGAGGTATGTTGGATCAAATCAAAACAAACAATAATGTTGATCTGTGTATAGTGATATCATCGGGATCAGGCTATAAGTACTTATAACCCCATTTATAGAATGTATAATCCCATTTTTAACCACTTATAACTGGTAAATGGCCATAACTGTATGGAAAATAAAACATGTTTGAAACCACAAACCTGGGGAAAGAAACACTAAATGACACTTGGACATGGGTCAGTTCAACTTGCAGTGCCAACACAGCGAAGATTCGCAGAGTTTCGAATCAAGAACCTGACCTGGCCTTCTGGGAGGATTCTCCTAGGGAAACACATACTTCGTCCATAAGTCCAACTGGGTTATCCCATTTATATCTGCATCTTATATTAAAACAACATCATTTTTAATCCCAGTTCCATCCCAGTTGTATCTAGATTACATCAAATTCTATTCCAGTTACCCTCTGGTAATTTAACATAACTATGGAAAATCACCATTTTTCATGGGAAAGTTCACTATAAATGGTGATTTTCAATAGCTATTTTGACATAACCAGAGGGTATCTTCCACTTGCGATCCGTAGATCCTCAAGCTGCCGGGCCACCGACAGAAGTGCACCAGCAGGGTGCCAAGGATGGCAAAACGCAAGGCTTCCGAGAGCGTCAGCAACAGCTGCTGCCCAAAGCATCGCGTGAGGTGCCGGAATAGCACCTTGGGATCCAACATGGGGCCACCATGGACAGACTGTGGACCCTGAAATCGATTCGAAATCGATTCGAAATCGATGGTAAACATGGTGATTTTCCATAGTTATTTGTGAGTTAGAAATTGTCCCATTCAAAATGGTGATTTTTCCATGGTTCCAGAATGTTCCAGACAAGTCTGGTGGAAGATGTCGGGTGTCGCATGTCACAATCTTCAAGAAACACCAATAACATGGAGCGTTGGTCGCGGTCGTCTGTCATTCGTCAGCGAGCAGTCTCATATCTGACATATCTTGTATCCTGAGAAGTTGGCTATGGATCGATCTCAAACACTCAAAGAAAGCAAATGAATTTGTTTTTTCTGTCGGATACAATTATCCAATGGGATCCTGTTTTTTTTTTGTGCCATGCTTCGGTATTGTGTCATTTTTTCCAAAATAATTCAGGATCAGGATCCAATTATGATCCAACATTATCAGGGTATCAACATGGAATCCAGTTTCTGGATCCGGGTATCAACATGTGCAACCACATTGAATCACTTACCCATAGGATCCATGTATGCTATATATGGTAACGTTTACCATCAACATACCCCCAATGTTAGCATATATACCATACATGAATCCTATGGGTTAAGAATCTAAACGTCCAACTTGTTCGAAACCATAAAAAAAACTGGCAAAGAGAATCTAAGGACACAACTAAAAGCCATGGACATACATATTAATCATATTATATCACCCCACTGATATGATAAATATGTTTTTGTATGTAGTAATACTTGTTTCTTCGAAACATAGTCATAATGATTGATATATAGATGAAAACCCTTCTGAAACTTTGTGATCAAAGACCACGGCCCCCCTGGTACCCCTGGCCCTGGCCCGCGCACCTTGGGCCCTGGAGCCATGTTGCGACCCCCGTACCTAAGGATAGCCCGGTGGCTCAGCGAGCTGAGTCGGAGAGGGAGCTGACAATCCGAGGACCGACATAATGATATTTAACGGGATCTATACAGGATGGGGCCCCCACGATAGCTAAGTTGGTTTTTAAGTGGCTGAATTCAATGGTTTATGGTAGATATAACGAACTAGGTTAATGGGGGTTATTTCATGGTGTACAACCCAACTTATAACTGGGGGGCCCCATCCTGTAATGGTTTCTATTGGGATTTATGATGGGACAAATGGGATTTATCATCATTTATCATGAAACAGACTCCAATGGGATTTAACTGGAATACCATAGGTATCTAATGGGGTATCTCATAGACATATGAGCCATGCTGGAAACCTTGATAGATTCTTAGGTCGTAAGAACATGCTTACGCACATGCTTGCGCATCCTTACGCTATTGGGGGTTTCTCTTACGCGCGGATCTGGGCTTTTTATGGGCTTACGCAAGGCTTACGCGAAAGTAAGTCACCACAAAATCATTTTTTTTCGTGAAACGTTCCTTACGCGGCCTTTTTTTGCAACAGAGTATGTCAGTGCGTCATTCATCATTTGTCGAATCCGAAGATGAAGATGTTGAAGAAGAGGATGTAGAGGACGAGCCTGAACCGTCAGCTTTCAATGCTGCCTGTTGCCGTCGACGCTTTCGAGCCTGCTTGCTGAGAGTTCGGGCCTTGGCTGATAGTTTTTCTTCCAGTGATCTTTTTGGCGCTGGCATGGCATGGGATTTGAAGGACTTCTGGGCTGTGTATTTCCGTGTGAGTTCATTGACATCCCCTGGCTTGGGGGCCCAGTTCTTCCCAGGATCGCGGTTTGTCATAGTAACCTCGCCGCCATTGTTCTTCATCTTCGGATATTGTTTCACCAATTGACCAAGGTCCCAGGGATTGGTTGGAGCTCGGTTTCCCTTCCATTTGACTGTCATCAACGTGACCAAGCATATTGACCCTCATGTTTCTTTCATTCTTTAGCCAAAAGGTGCTTTTCAAGCATGCCTTACGCAGGCTTACGCACAACATTCAAAGCCAAAAACCTTGCGCAGCTCTTACGCCACTGTAGTTTTGGCTTACGCGAAGCCACCTTATGACCGTCCCCTTACTCACCAATACATAAAGAGTTTATAGCGCAGCTCATATGAATGGACATTTAATGATATCATACACCTTAGATCCTCCTTATAATTAGCCTGGAGGTGTTGGGACCGCATTTCATAGGTATAAACTGGCTGTCCCCAACTGCCAAGTTTACAATATGCTGACTCCAAGTCAAAAATGTACTGCTACAAAATGCAGCTTCCAAGTACATATAGTCGAGAATCTACGACTACATATGGATACATATGGCATCTACAAAATGATGTGTCCAGGAAAGCCTTGGGATTTACCTGTTCATGCCTCTACATACAGAATGACCTTCCTACAAAAAAGGTTCCCAAGTATGTGGGTCTCGTGTTTTCTCGACATGCCCTAAACATCTCTCCACTACAAAATGCTTTCCCCTACTTACCACTTTCACAATCTACGTGTTCATGCAAACCTCTACAAAATGATCCTGCAGAAACTCTTAAAAGCAGTAAAAGCTACCAGGTTACAAAATGCAGGTGTACAGCACCAAACCTGCATATAAAAGCCTAGGGTTTTTCCATTTTATATGGGACCCAGGTCCTCCCATTCTGTAGGGGAAACTGCAAGAAGGATCACCTTAGTGAAATTGGAGTTATTTCAACCAACTGAACGCTATCTTAAATCACATATATATATAATCAAATCCCATTGGAATTCCCCATATCTCGTTGGTGAAATCATAATTTTCCATGTTTTTCCTATGGCTTTTGTACCCGTGCCCCGTCTCTGGACGCGCCACGGATAGCGGCATACTGGGCAGCAAGGAGCCTCTGCGCCTGGCAATCATCGAGGCCCGGTGGCCCCAGGTGGTAAAGTTATAGGTATTACATCACCATTAAATCACCATTTAATCACCATTAAATCCCATAGTTATAGGTATCACATGGTATCACCATAATTGGATTTTGATAGGATTTGATGGGGTTTCAAGTGGGTTTTCGTGCGACTGAATGGGATTCTTAATGTGATTTTAATGGGATTCACAGCGATTTTCATGGGATTCAATGGGATGTTAATAAGATTTAATGGGATGCAAGGGGATTTTAATGGGATTTTAATGGGATTTAATAGGATTTAATAGGATTTAATGGGAGCTTAATGGTGATTTAATTGAGATGTTTTTTTAAATGAGGATTTGATGAATGTTTAACGGTGTTCAATCGGATTCAACCGGATTTAGTGGGATTTAATGGGAAATCAATGGGATTTTTATGGGGTTTAATGGGATTTTGATAGGACTGAATGGGATTCAATGTGATTTTTCATGAAATTTGATAGGATGATTTAATGGGATCTGATATGGGATTTAGTCCGCTAAGTTGGTGAACATGACTAGGATAGCAGTTGGGTTGTAGCGACAAAATAATTACCCTCTGGTGAACATACAAAAAGCTATTGAACATGGCCATAGAAATAGTGGATTTTCCCATTAATAGCATGGTGATTTTCCATTGCTATGTTAGTTCACCAGAGGGTATAATTGATGTTCATTCAAAATGAATACAATAGACTATGTAGACGTCGATAGGCACTCAATCTGGGGGTGAAGGAAAAACACATTCTCAGATTCTTTCCCGATTTTTGTTCGAACATTTGGAACTAGCATACCCAATTCTTGTCATTGTTTCCAATTAACATTGCAATGGGTTTTCCCCTTTATTGGACAAACACAAATCATATATGTGATAACTCCAGTCCTGTATGCATTCCATCCACTGGATGGAAATCTCAACTTTCCTAGTGTTTGATGGTCATGATTCTGTGGTAAATCACCATTTTTCAGACAACTCAATTATCATACTGTTCCATGTTGTCCGCTATATCCCATTAAATCCCCTCAAACCACCCTATGTTCATGTCATCAAGCTGCGTCTCGCTATATCCCATCAACTTACAATTCCCACAAAAACAATCCCATTAATACAACCCAATCCATAAACAATCCCAAATACAATCCCACATTCCCATCTAAAAAACCGCATATTCAATCCCAATCCTCCCAGCACTCGCACCTTGGAAGGTGCTTCTTCGATGGTATTCCACCCAGGCTTCCACACAGGAGGCGTGCACGCCACCCATGGATCCCCGACAGCGGCATGGCTGCACCAAGGCTTCCTAAGAGACGAAGCCCGGTGATCACTAAGGCCGTGGGGATCTGTTTGGGACAACGGAAAATAGGATATTTTTAACCAGGGAAAATGATCATTGAACTAGGGAAAGCAACATCCATACAACATCCACCATCACCAAACAGCTATTGCTGTTAGGATCGGCAAAAAATGGCCACAGAACTCGGGAAAATGGTGATTTTATGGGATTTAGTCGGATGTCCAAAGATGAACAATCATTGGGGTTATAAACCCTCACAAGTTGGGATATGGGGGCCCTATTACTGCCGGGTTCCCGGTATGGTTACTGTAGATGTCGTAGATCCACTTACAACTCGAACTGCACTTCCAAATATAAGTTAACAGTTTGGTTTGGTAAAATGTCCATTTCGGGGGAAACTTTACCTCTTAAAACGGTTGTAGTTTTTCATAGCTATGCTTGAAAACATCTCCGGTGTCATCAGCTTCAAAATGGCGGTTGAATGGGAAATTCATCTATCAAAGGGGAATGTTTCATTGCCAGTCTGCAAATTTGGGTGAACAAATGCAAACATGGAATATTGATAAATGTGGATAATTACGCTTGATATCCCTTGATGCTATCATCTTTCGAAAGTTGAAGGGATGTCAAAGTTAATTTGTGTCTGTTTCCAGAAAAAATACCGGTGCTGAGAAACAGTGTATACATATCCACATTGGAACCGAAAACAACCAGCGTTGCAAATGTACTGTTTTTCTCGTAAATACATTGCAGTGTTGCAAATGTATAGTATCTACATTGCAAACCATAGTTTCAAAAGTACTGGTTTCATGATCCATGACAATACCCACTCATCAAACAGCAAAACATGCAGGCTGCGGAGCACTATTTCCCACCGGATCAATGATTGATGCCTTGAACCAGTCACCAACAGTTCTGGGGCCCCATAAAGATGGTCCAAATCATCCGAGGATGTTTCACGAAAACTGCCATCGAACACCCATCGAAGCCAAACAACAGACTGGTTTTCGAAGATAGATTTCCCCCATGGTTTGCAATGGCATGATTTTGACGCTTCCATACGAGTTTTCAGGGAGTAATTACATATATTATATAAATAGATATAAGAGCTTAGCAACTTCCTGCCAGCTCAATCAGAATATAACTCACCAAAGTGAAACAAGATGATGGCGGTATGATTCCCCCTACTTCTTGGCTCACCCCACTTAGGAAGTGGATTAAAAAAAACAGTGAAGAGAACTAACATGAACTAACCCTACAAGTACTTAACTAACTTATGACCAGCGCTATAACCTACCTGGTTGGTGGTTGAGCCACCCCTCTGAAGAATATGAGTTCGTCAGTTGGGATTATGAAATTCCCAACATTTCAGGAAAGCCATAATCCATTCATGTATCCAAACCACCAACCAGATATGGTTTGATATGGTTTGATATGGTTTTATGGAATCAGGGGATTCTATTTCTATGAGAATTTCACCATTCAAGGTCACGTCAAGCGTTATAACCTACTAACTTATTAAACATTGCCCAGTCGAAATACTGGATTTATCCATTAAAAATTGTGGATCTTTCCATCGTTTTTTGGTATGTTATCACCTACTACCTGGGATAAAATGATGATTTTCCATTAAAAAATGTGATGTTCCATATTTTTTTTTGTATGTTAACTCGGGAAAATGGTGATTTTACAGTTATGGCCATTTATCAGTTCTAAGTACTTACTTATAACCCCATTTATAGAATGTATAATCCCATAGAAATAACCACTTATAACTGGTTTTTATGGCCATAACTGTATGGCGATGTTTATCACCATCGTCGTGACAGGTCGTACGACAGGTCACAGGGCTGCGATCCCGGCAGATCCAGCACTCCAGGACTTCGGCCCTGGCGATCACCGTGGCGGTTGGAGCGTTGGAGCGACGGTGACTGGGGTCGTCTGGATGAAAATTCACAGAGTTATGGCCATAAACCAGTTATAAGTGGTTATAAAACTATGGGATGAAATACATTCTATAAATGGGGTGACTTGTTAGTACTTATAACTGATACATGGCCATAACTGTATGATTCCAGAAGTAGATATGATATATAGATATGATATAGATATAGAATATCTATATATTCCACACCCAAAATTGTATGATCTATATATATGGCGAATTCTATATCACATCTATGATCTATATGATCTGAATATATTACACACATTGTTTCAATGGGAGATCTTCAGGATCCTAAAATTTATGGAGGTACGGAATTGTACCATATGTTTGGCCATATTTTGGGGGTATATCCCCTGAAATTTAGGCCTAAAAAATAGGTCTTATATATGGTAGGTACCTCCAATTTAGGTTCCTGACATGGCCATTGATTGTTTGTTCAATGTGTAGAATAGGAACAATATACACTGGTTGGTGGTGCAATAACCATCTTGAAAAATATGAAAGTCTTGAAAAATATGACATCCCATATATGAAATGGAAAAAAATATGTGAAACCACCAACCAGTACACTGTATACTTTATATATTGTTTAACTTTGTGAAAGAAATTGAATGTCTTTTTGATTTGGCTCAACATGAATACATACAGCAGGAACTAAGGAAGGTCAGATCTTATGCCGCACCAGCTGCAGTGGTGCAGTCCTTAGAGATTTCTTTCCCTAGCTGCCCTTATTTGCTTTGAATGTAAACATGATTTCTTTACCACTTGTCATCTGCCTGGTCTTTGCATTTTACTGACGACTTTACTGTGGATCTGAACAGATTTGCGTCCCAGTCAGAGGGGGAGCACTATATTAGAATTGAAAACCATCAGCTTCACATTCTTGGAAATTTCCGATGTTCTGCCATGCTTTCGGGCTGAAAAATCTCCACAAGACTCTTGTTTCAATCTTCACTCATATCACAATCACTACAGTACCAATCAGCGAAACATATCCCTAACCCTAACAAACAATCATAAATAGCCCTGCCACGCCTGCCAAGTTGGTTGGGCACCATGCGGGCACTCATCATTGGTGCACGCCGGGACGCTTGAGCATATCAGCAGCGAGTCTAAAGGATACAAAGGTATCGCCTTTGGTTATTCACCCACACAACTATAGCTATATGGCTATATACATATACATATATTATTCATGTATGGCCTAGTTCATTGAATCTAGTTATGAACTAACTTAGATATGGAAGGTATCGCCTTGTGTACAAGCTCCGTGTTGCCATGGAACCAACACGGGATCTTCACAGAAGCTCAACCAAAGGCCCAACTCATTAATACCAGGTGTCTTCATATGTCATGGCTGAGAAGCTCCGTGCAACCGACATCAGCGGAATACGGTTATGGCCATTTACCAGTTACAAGTGGTTATAAATGGGATTATACATTCTATAAATGGGGTTATAAGTACTTATAACTGATAAATTGCCATAACTGTAAGCAGGTGCCAGCCAGCATTTTTATCGCGATTCGTCCATGGGACAAACCACAAGACTAGTTGAAGTCACGTTGCCAGCTTGATATTTGCATGGCTAGACTGGAAAGCAAATCTGAAACTGCTCTCTGCCGACTGTTTTTAAAAAGTCAACACCATGGTCCATGATTTACTCCACAGAAAAGAGCAAATCAATTGCTGGTAATGGTCATTTTCCGTAGCAAAGGTAAAGGATTCAGCCTTATCATCCAAGGATGGGGATGACTCCGGGGATGACACCCTTTCCACATCTACCCACGGGTTTCATGGCTTTTGAAGACCCCACATCTACCAGGCGCCCTGCGAAAAATGTCTAAAGCGCTGGTGCTACGGATTTTGCGACCCAGAAATCAAGTGAAATCTCAATAATGCAGACTCACCCAATGATTGGACTGGGAAGATTGTACCACTTCTCACTGGACATTTACTAAATATACCTCCGTCTTGACCTTCGTGCTTGAATCAGAGATCTTCACCCACACAATACGATGTCATGATATGTCATGTATAGTCATATTGGTACTTTCTGCTTGCCAACAGCTTCAAAGAATGACACATATGTAGCTTCGGGTTCCACATCAACCCGCCGTCCCGCCTGGAGATACTCTTAAAGTTCACACAACTCTTGGAGGCGGCAACCACGAACCTTTTTTCGGCTCGGCCGAAAATGGATCAAAATCAGTGACTGACCAGATGGGAAAATATACAAAACGAAAGATGAGACAGTTCGCACATATTCTCTAGGTCCATTGGAAACCCATGTTTGAGCTCAATAATGTGAAATGGATGAAATGAATGTTGGATGATTTTCAATCTGCCTTGGAGGGCGTCTATGTGCGACTTGGACCATTCCAATTGGATTTCTGGGGAACTCCCCCCAATTTCAAATGGTGGCTAAACTACTGGGAACATGTCAGCTGTTAGGTGCAAAAACTCCAACGTTTCCGAATTTTAGGCCTCAGCGGGCTTGATCTGTGGTACTCATGACGCGCATTTTTCGCAAGGAAAGGATTGTTTTGGATCAGGGGATGTCATGCTTTGTCCTTCCATTCCATGTTCAACCTCAAACTTGGGGTCTAGATCCAAATTCTTTCGCAGTGGACATGTGCCGGGATGCAAGAACCGATATATGTTCGATCTTCCATTCCAATTCGCATAATTCGCACACCAAAAAGCATCCAAAAAACCAACCGGCATCCCATTTCCGTATGGCCCAAGTCTGGATCTTCCGGCAGAAATTCTTGGCTCCTCCGGCGATTCTCCCACCCCCAGGGTGCGGACTTGAAACTCTCCGCAGTGACTTCGGCCCAGATCCTGCGGGATTTCTGCGGGAGTTTGGTCGCCAAAATTTAGAACACTCTGCAATCTTACCTACTTCTATGCATATACATACTATATATGATATGATATATGTATATTCTATGGTCAGCAGAATGTATCCAGAGAATAAACACAAGAAAATGGAACAACCATGGTTTATCAAGGAAAATGATCTCCAAACGGTGGGCAAAAAAATGTCAATTTACTGCAGGGTAAGCGGCAATTCCTGGTTGCTGGTAGAGTCACCTCTCCAAAAACACAATCAATTGGGATCATGGAATCATGATCGCAAATTAGATTCTTAAGATTCTTAAATAGCCTTCAAGACATGAACGTACCATGCTTGGCATATTCATATGGTCATCTTCCTCATCCCGAAAGCTTCCCCCACGCACTCCCAGGCACTGCAGGTCCTCTCATCTAAGTCGGGGCCAAGTAAATCCTCCGGTGCACGATGCTAGGGGGACATGGGGCTGCAAGCCACAGTGGATCAACATTGGGAAAATCATCTTTAATCATCCTGAAATGGGGATGACTAGCGGGCTAGCAAAATTACCAAATATAGCAATGAATTCCCGCACTGGGACCTCCAAAATAATATATAGTTTAGTAAACTCAGTACTAAACCAGGGGGGTTGGAGGTTTATTACATGGATAACCGCTGGATTCTCGTTCACCTAAACGCCCCCACCCCTACCCCCCTATTACTAAACACGGCAGGTAGTTTTTAGTAGGGTGGTATTTATTATGAGGGAACCCTATTAATAAGATTAAATCCTTAATAATAAAAACTATTTTTTCCGATCTCAAAATCAATTAAATTTCTTTATATAACGCAATGAAAATAATGCTAAAAATTGGATTTCGAAGCTTCCCCCTAATATTAAATTAAAACCCTTAATAATAAAAATTATTTTATCCGATCTCAAAATCAATTAGATTTCTTTATATAACGCAATTAAAATATTGTCAAAAATTGGATTTCGAAGCTTCCCCTAATATTAAATTTACAACCTTAATATCAAAAACGGACCCTAAAAATAAACACCCCGGGGTGAACTAGTTTTTAGTATTAGGGGGGAAAACCCACAAATGGTAGCTCTATTCTTAAATTGTTTTCTAAAGGGGATCAATTAAAAGTCAAATTGGCCAATCTGAATTTTTCCAAAATTGGAGATGGGCGCATGTTTTTAGTATTTGGGGGACGTTTAGTATTAGGAGGAAGGGATTATATAATATAGATTATATGTCTGGTGCAAATCATGAATTGAATTGAACTTTCTACGACATGACTATCGGTTCGGCACACATCCACGCTGCCTCTGGCCATGCTGATCTCATGAACCCCCCGCGCGCCGCGTTCCGCACCGCGGAGGGTCCGAGCCAAACTGCGGAGAAGCCTAGAGATCACTGAGATCACCTGGGTTTTCTTCACGTTTTCTTCAAGTTTTACCATATCCTATAAACTATATTTCTTTGAGGCCATATCTTTTTCTATTTTTCTTGGATTTCCAGCGGGATGAAGTGCAGCTCTGTGCGCTTCTTTACCCAAAGGAATCCCAAGGATTCAGTCCGTACACTTACGGCCATTTAGATCATTTATTAATTATATAAATTATTGTAAATGGGATTATACATTCTATACATGGGGTTATAAGTACTTATAACTATTTATTATTAAAGGGCCATAACTTTAATGGTTGCCAAATAGGCAAGACCCAGGTATTTGGTTCGGAGAGAACAGCACAAATACCCGCCCTCAGTCCTTTTTTGTGTGATGGCTCAATCTGTTGCGTAAGCAACCTTCAACTCCTTGTAAATGCTTCACCAGGTATAGTTTTTCTTTTCCACGATATCCCATGCGTCATGAGATGTCATGAGTCACCATCACCTTGAAATTAGCAAGAAGATCTGAATTGGGGCGAAATACCAACAGTCAAAGAACGTCAAAGAGTCAAAGCTCTTCGATCCGCTCATTCATTTTGGACCTTTTTTGTTCAACTTGGCGCGTAAAATAGTGGTCTCTATAAGCAAATCAATTTCTGCTTGGATGACCATTGCGAACATCTTAGTTGGTCAGTATGAGTGCTCCCTGCAAAAATAGGGATAACTCGAGCTGGAGGATTTGCACACCTGCTCTTGAACCTACTTGGGATTCCGATATAGTCACCATCTGGTTATTTAACATAGCCATGGAAAATCCCTGATAAATGAAGGTTTCTAGCTGGGAAAATCATCTAAAAATGGACGTTTTTTTCCATGGCCATGTTAAATAACCAAAGGGTATATGGTTATTGGCCACTTACTAAGTGGGAAGATCCTGAAGCTGGTCATCCAAGAAAGAACAACTGCATGACCTGGTGGAACCCACGTAGGGGCCCACCATCACAGCTCTGCGTTCCGCCACTGACGCCGTGACACATGGACTCGAGCCAAGTCCGTCATATAATCGTTGCCTCAGCACAAACTCTGTGGATCTATGTGAGAAAGAGAGAGTTTGGGTAGATCTCAAGTTGTTAATCTGGGAATCATAGGATAGACAACATCCATGCTGTAAGTAGTACACTGCATAGTATTTCTCCTCCAACTTTGGACAACACATTATATAATTGATCTCTTGTAGTGGCTGGTGAATGTTTTTTTGCTATTATCATGATATCCCGACCAATAAAGGAATATTAAGAATAGTATAACCGTATAACCCTCTGTAATCATAGAGCAATTGTGCATCTCAGTTTTAGCAATTCGCCACCCCAAAAAAAACTTTGATGCAAGGAATCCTTTCAGGAGGCTTCCCACCCCAAATTCATTGACTAAACCCATTTATTGTCAATGAATTATAATAAATAACATCTCATTCCACCAGTACATTGCCAAAATTTCTCAACTGTGTGGATGTCACACATATTTCTGACTTGACAAATCATACGTGCGTGGATAACCTTCAAACCTCGAAGATTATGGTGAAGTCAGTCATCAGCAAAACCATCTTCCATCCCAGTTTACCGTCTTGAAAGCAAATGCAGTTCTGGCCCTTTTTTACCAGTTACCCTCTGGTAAACTAACGTAACTACTATGGACAATCACCTTTTTTTTAATGGGTAAATCCACTATAAATGGCAATTTTCAATAGCTATGTTAGTTTACCAGTGACATGCCGCTAAGTCACCCTTGAAACATCCAATGGCAGCCCATCCCTAACCATCACCATAAAAATCACTGGTCTCTCGTTCGGCCAACTGGACTCCCCTCACCTTTCCCAAGCCCCGGTGAAACTTTCAGCGGCTCAGCGGCTGGACTTCCCGTAATTGGAATCCACGGAGCGCAACAGCCAGAGTTTGGCGTTCTCCTTATCTGCCTTGGCCTGACAAATCATTACCATGACCCTCGGTTATGGGCAAAATGTAACCGTAAATCATGGCAAATACCTTGTGACTTGAAATATATCCAAACATCCAGACAGTTGAAAAGGATACTGTTTGGCACACAAGCTACAGATTGCGGCTCAGATTGCGGCATATGAAGCCAGAACATGCCACTGGTGGAGCGGTGTCAAGATAAGGAAAATTATATGTGGATCACATCTCCACAAAAGTCACTCCAATTAGCTGGTGATACAACGGCAGCACCAAAAAAATGTTCACACACACTCGATAGGATAATCAAGGAAGCAACATAAGACATGGATTATGATTTAATGCATGGACAATGGATCGGGTTTGAGCAAACAAAGTCATCTTGACCATTCTTGACCATGTTTGATCCCACATGTGCTTAAAATATATCAAACCATCATATACATAACATATTCATATAGGCGAATCTCCCATAGTGTGTATATATACACATATAAGATAATCATAAGACATAGATACCTCCGATCTTCTCCCATATGGAGGTTTCCTAAAATATGGGTACCCCATGCAAATCCCCCAAATCATTTATTTTAATATGATTTTCCACGAAATAAACCATCCAGCTCTTGGGGGTACCCCTATTTCAGGAAACCCCTATATATAAATTTGATATAGACAATATATTTATTTACAAATTATAATCAACTAATTGATATTATATTGATATATAATATAGATAATATATATATGTATAATATATATATATGTAATAAACATATAAAGTTTCAGGAAACCTCTGGACAATCTTGTTTGGTTTATGTTGGTTTTACTGCCAGCCTTGCCTCGTAGTAGAGGCCCAAATAGAGAGAAGCCTTGGTGGCGCGCCGGGGTATGAGCCGAATCGTCAGCCCTGGTACCGCTGAAGCTCCAAATAGCTGGGATGGATGGTTATCCCACCTATAGATATAGATAGGTTTTGACCCATCCCCGAAGACCTGAATGTACCCTCTGGTAAACTAACATAACTATGGAAAATCACCATTTTCAATGGACAAATCCAGTATTTCTATGGTCATTTTCAATAGCTATGTTAAATTACCAGAGGGTACAATGAAAAACTCATGTACCGAATCTTTGGGTATTCAAAGTTTGATCATGTTTAAACCATGTCCACTAGACTAGACTGCTAGACCCATAGAATCGCCGCCTCGGATGTTCCACAAAAACAGTCGTCCTCGACGACCAAGGAACGTAGAAAGCATCAGATCCACCCTTCTTGTAAAGGCCTTCCAAGATATCCTGAGATACCAATGTCACTGACCGGAAACAGGCATGCTATCCTGGTGATATCTCCACCTTTCATTCTGCTCTTTTCACACTCACCAAGTGTGTGATGATGGAAAAACCTTGGCAAAACTAGAAAAAAAACATGACATCCCATCTTTGCCAAAAAAAAACCTGGCATGTTCCATCCATGAAATCACCAGCCAGCGTCGATGTACTTGGCGTCGTCATCTCCCCGGTAGAGCGCATAGACAGAGCCCATCACCGGGCGAGGATCGAAGCCCACCTTCATCAGCTGCTTCCGCGCCTGCTCAAAGCCTTGGGCCCAGGGAAAAAAAAATGCAGTTTCTTTGGGAAAACCATGGTGAAATGGTGATTTCACTCGGGGCAAATGCTGATTTAACTGGGGACAATGGTGATTTAACTAGGAAAAAATGCGGTTCAGCCAGGGAAAAATCTGATTCAACCAGGAAAAAAATGTGATTTAACAAGGGGAAATGGCGATTTAACTAGGGGGAATGATGATTTAACCAGGAAAAATTGTGATTAAACTAGTATAGCCCCAAAATACCAGTTGTAAGTCAGTGAGTTACCGGAAAAAATGTAATGATAACCCCACTTATAACCATCGTTACAGTAATTGGTAAATGGTTTTAGCTTTAACATGAATGGGCTCAACGGAACTGGAGAGAAAAGCGGCAAAACTGAAGATATCAACTTGTAAGAATGACGGTATAGCCAACAAAAATGAGAGTTTGTATGTGTAAATGTATATATATATATAACTAAATAAATATATATATATCATAACAATCTGAGCAGCAACAAATGGTGATATTTGGGAAAACCAACTGGTGATGGCTAGTTTAGTACTAACTAATCTGTTGCAATATATGGGTATACTTATCAGCTAAAGATGGAATTTGTGAATGGTATCGAAGACTGGGAAATCACCGACAACATCCAAAAAATGCAAACAATGAATGTTATGACAACAAAATGACAGAGTTATAGGACTTGAGCTGTTTCACTCGTCCATAACTTAATAACCCCAAATATGATCAAATATATACATATGCTGCTTAAATACCCTTTCTGTGTCAGTTGCTGATTCCTGTGGCCCAAGAAAGCCACATCCTGTCCACAGCTTCGCATCTCCCAAGGTTTTTGGTGCCAAGGAACCAACGGTCTGAGCTTCACAGAGAAAAGCCCAAACAGATTCTTCGGTGTCATTGGGATTCATCTCCACATCTTTTCCTCAGCCGTGCTTACAAAGCGGCCAACGATAAAGGGACCAACCAAGAGACCCGATAGAGAAACATGTCCCCAAGTTGACATGAAGTTATGCCCCAAAATGCCCCCAGTTGTACTTTGGAGGCTCCGGTGAACTTAGGTCACTTAGTTCGAACTTAGTTTGAACTTAGGTTTAAGTGGTTTTGAGGGGTTGCTAAGTGGAAGCTAAGTGCAAGCTAAGTGAGCTAAGTTTTTTGATAGGTTTTTCGCTTGTTTTTCTTTTATTTACGTTTTGTTTTATTTTGTCATTTTTTGTCTTTATTTTAATATAATTTTGCCATGTTGCAGGACGGTTCTCGTTGACACAGCCGTTTTTTTTCTGGCAATGCTTTGCGAAGGTCGGGTGAGAAGACGGCTGCATCATCGAAGCAGCCAAAGGCCCGTGGTGCCTTCACGAAGCAGGTGCATTGGCTCATGGCCAAGCAACCCTTTCAGCGGCAGCAGTGCCAATTTTGAATTTTCCTTTTTCCACGTAGGAATTTTGGCAATTGAATTTGTGGCTTTGGATAGACAGGTCACAAGCAAGAACAGTTCTTGCGAGGTGGACACACCACCTTGGATTTGGACAGCGCAGTCTTTGGATAGGAGTACGTACGTTCCCTTTTCATATTTGACACATTGATATTCCAGCCCGTAGGCAAACTTTGTGTCACTTGGCAGGCCAACGAGTTTGGCGCAGCTTGGCTGAGCACGTGGCTTCCCTATGAGTCGTCCCGTGAACGACTCTGCTGCATCCGCATCCAACAGTTCCATCTCTGTGAGTTGCAACAGGCAACTTGTTGAGAATGTCTTCAGGTTGGTCATCTTTGGGGCAACTTGGCTTTTGAAGATGCGATGTTTTCTTTCTCCGACGTAGCAATCTGCGTGACGGCCCCAGCGAAGCACTTGGCTCCACACATGCAGGGCGTAATGCGCCTTCGGCCTTGTCAACACAGCGTCGTACGCACGTTGAAAGGCCACCATGTGCGCCCGTTGCAGACTAGTCAGAGCCGCTCCACGTACCGGATTCCATTTCATCCTGTGCAAACAAGTCAGCACCGCGTACAAAGCATCCAAAGAATCGATTGCTGTTTGCATTGAAGCATTTTCGCGCAGAATTTCCTGCGAAAAGGCCCACACCAATGGCATAGCTGTTGCACACGCCGAGGCATCCCCACGATAGTCACAGTCTTCTCGAAAGAGATGTTCTGTGCAGCTGGCGGAAGGCGTCAGCAAAGAGTCTTTGGTCGTTTTCCATCCAATTGCGATCCAGTTTCGCAAGAGTTGCAAATTGAAGCCTGCGGCAAGGAAGCGACCAAACCAGAGACCAAGTTCTTGCGCCACCAGCCCATGCGAATAGTATTGGTGCATCGTGTCTACAAGCAGACAATCCAAAGAAATCCAAGGTTGAAGTTTTTCTGACGCAAAGATGGACCTGCGAAGTTCACGGGCGTTCCATCCCAGAAGCACTTCAGCCTTATTAAGGCTTTGTTTCGTACGACAACTGTCGAAGTGCCTTTGTATATCTTTCAGACCTGCATCAGTTTGTCGTACAAACCGGGTTGAGTCCATCTCTTGGATGGTGACAAAGCCAGGTGGGCAGGCTCTTCCATTGGCCAACACGTTGCAACAAGCAAAGCAGGGTTTTGCCCCTGAGGCGCCCTTACTTCCACTCACGGATCTCAAGCCTTCATGATCATTCAACAGAATAAGATGCCGTATGAACACCATCTCAGCTTCACCGCCAATGGACAAGGCGAAGCCGTTCTCCACTTCTTCAAACACATTTTCCAAAATAGCTCTTGTCACCTCCGCGTAGGAGGACTTCGCATCCGCGACCTCGTTCGATCTCACCACAGAGAGAGGCAGCCACAAACCTTCCACATGGAGAAGGGGAAATTCCCAGAAGGTAAAGTAATATAGGTTACTTTTCCGCGGATGCCGAGCTGCCAAGATGTTTCCTGGATTTGCCTCATCTGCAAAGAGCAGTAGACTTAGGGCATTGCTACCCTGTTTCAAAGCCTGCAGCATCATATAGGCAAATAGGCCACATTTGTCGACCTTTTCTTGAATCAAGTCAGGAACCGTGTTCAGCTGTATCGCTAAATTGGAATCGGGCAGCTTCACTTCGCGTAGAAGTTTGGTTGCCTGAGGATATTTCAAATGCTGCTTTCGGCACGTAGCCGCTCCTTGCTCGTCGTCGCGAAGCAAGGTGATGACTCTACGGCAGTCCTCGTGGGACAGGCCCCGGATTTGTCGCAAGGCCTGAAACTGTTCCACCGGCGTAGCACTTGGATCCAATTTTCGTTTCATTATGTCTCTATTTTGAGCCACAGGGTGCACTGGAGACAAGCAAGACGCTGCAAGCACAATTCCGCAGGCGAATGCGCGCAGAGACACTGGTAACTGTACGGATGCATGCAGTGACACTGGTGTTCTCTTCCCATCAGTGCAATGCTTCTGGGTGTCATTTGAAACAAGAAACACATGGATGCTTCAGGGAAGAAAGACAGAAGTTATATATTGCAACAGGGAAACGTGTGTGGTGTCGTTATTTCTGTGGGGTGCCGTATTGATGCGCATTTTTTCCAAAAGCGAAACACACAAGGCAACGTCAGAGTTCAAAGCGTCACTTGACAACCCCAGTCAAGAGTCGAGAAAACAAGCTCGGCACAAAAGTCCATGGGTCACGCCACGGTACAGGTTCTATATATGGATTTCGCAAACCCTTGGCCTGCGGAATATTTGTCTCGACATCCTAGAGTCTTGGGACGTGGAGCCTTCGAGAAACCATCACAGCAGCATCCAGCGCTTAGCTGCCCTTGATGCGGCGCCGCTTGGGCTTCGGCTCACCATTGTCATCCTCACTTGGCAGGGCGGAGCCAGGATTGGCCTTGGCCTTGGCCTTAGCCTTTGCCTCTTTCTTGGGCATTGATTCCTTCAGATCTTTTTGCCCTGCTGCGCTTTGCTGCAGCGCGACTTTCAAATCTGCCTGATCGAAGGGTAAGGCCGCCAAGGCAACCGGATCAACATCAGCTGCCAGACCCTTATTCGCCTCTTGGGCGTTCACAGCCGCACGGGCTGCTGCGCTCCAACGCTTCATCGTCTCTAGAGAATCTTGGCACAGCGTCTTGGCCGCAACATTGACGTTCTCCACATTCTCCGTCCTTGCCAGCAATTTACCCAGGGCAGATTCGCCAGCACACAATGGGCCCATGGCTCGAGCAGCCAACGCAGCAATCTTCGCATTGTTGCTCACAAGCTTCTTCTTCTCTGCCGCCTTAGTTTTCTCTTCTTTGGTAGTGTCATCCTTTTCAGCTTGGCCTGGCACATCTACGTCTTGGTCGCCTGTGCCTTTGCCACCCTTCTTCTTGGCTGCGGCTTTCTCTTGCTCCAGCACCTGCTCCTCAACCGTTTGGAACGCTTCTTTCCAGCGCAGCCTTTGAATGGGAAGTTCATGCACATGCGTTCCATATTCATCGCTCCACTTGGGTTCAAACCGGTCAATGACCGCATCCTCCCAACCACGTTTCTGCCATACCGTCTTGGGCAAGGCTTCCTTCTCCACAGTAGCCGTGAACTTTCGAATGACGGCTTCCGTTCTCTTCTTCACCCAAGCTGCCCGGATCGTCGTCCACTTAAGACGACCATCACAGGCGTCTTTTTGCTGGGATCGGAAAAAGTCATGTGTTTCATCTTTGGTCCACTGGGCTATGTCCGCAGTGGTGCCCAAGTTCCGTCTGATCACTGATGCGATGTTCCTGCATTGGGTGCACGTGAAGCAAGCCCCGTGCTGACGGCCATCGTCCTCCGCGTAGGAGTAGCCGCAGCTCTTACACACCTTCTTGGGTGCTTCTGCCATGCCCTATTCCGACAGCTGTGTGGCGTCAAGTGGGAGGCCAGAATGTCGGAGCCAGAACCTGCAGACACGACAAGGGAGAAACAAAACGTGGGAAAACGGAAAAGTCTGAAACAGATTCTGAAAAACTGACAAATTTTAGTGGCAATCCGCACACATTCCGCACACATTCGGGAGGGCTTAGATCCGTATATCGCACACATCCGCACACATGCGACGCATCCTGCATGCAACTTTGCACCCTCCGCACACATTCCGCACATAAGTTTACGATGAAGTTTCCATCCTTTAAGTACCTTTTTGTCGTCCCGCACACAACAATGCGCGCAGGTCTGTTTTCCCTCTTCCGCAGTCCGCACACATCCGCACACATTCCGCACACTTTTGCGAATTAGCCTTTCGCACCTCTGTCAGCGTCGCCTTGTCCTTGCATTGCTCGTAGCTGCGCAGCCACGTGGGCACGCATTTTTGTTAAGATATCCATAGTCAATATAGACACCATAGCATCGCTTGCCGGGCATCCGGTCGCTTAGAACTGCGAGCAGCTTCCTGGCCTGCAGCGCTTGGCCGCACAAGTGCTGATCACCACCATAGACTTGCCAGCCATGGCTGACCTTCTTGTACCGCGCAGGCACAAGGCAATGCCCCGGTCGCGTGGGGTGAGGCTCCAAATCCAACGCGATGGCGCCCCAGATGCCAAAGTGCAGTAAGGACGACAGTCTGCACAAGACCGCTTGGGCCCATGGCTGACCGTCGCCAGCTGCTACCCACTGGCTTGCGCAGGCAAACACATGCATGACCGTGGCCCATGCATCTTCAAAGTCCCTGCGCGCCACGTGTGTGGCATAGCTTCTTCCATGCACGTCATGACAGCTTCGAACCCACGTGGGGTCATTGCAAAGGAAACATCAAGAAACATGAACGCATCCGAGGCCCGTATGCCAACAGACATATGAGTGCACGCCAGCTTTAGAGCCAAAAAGGACATCGGGAAAGGAAACGGTATACAGGGGAACCACCTAGAGGGAGACAGTTGACATCACGAACCACCCAAGCCGACCAGACCCAGCCGCAAAACCTTTTTTCTCGTTCAGACTCAGAGTGCATCATATCCGTATAGTGAGAAGGCAGCACGATCTATTTCATGTCGCGTAGACATCAGAGATGGCTCGTAGCCAGAGCACCTAGTGGGCCATCAAGGATGATCTGGGCACCTGAATCCAGACCTTGTCATCGCGGCGCCTTTTGCGGTGCCCTGCGTCCTCGTCATCCTCGTCGCTCGGCGGCTTACGCCTGCGAGGACGCTCCACCTCTGGTGTCGGGCTGGGCTTGCGGTGTCTCCGGCGACGCTTCTTGTCCTTCTTCTTTTCCTTGCCGGGGCTCTTCTCCTTGGTGGGAGTCTTCTCTCTCCTGGGGCCCATAGCCTCATCAAACTCTGCTTCTTCGCGTGCCTGACGATGCCGTGCCGATCTGGCAGGCAGCACCTCCTCCTCAGGCCATGGCTCTGCGGGGCCCTTCTCCTCGTTGGTTTCACCTTCTCGCCTGTCCTTCAAGGCGGCCGCACGAATTCGGGCATCGTGCCAGGCCCAGCCTCTCTGCCACAGCTGGCAGGCTATGCAGTACTCGCTGAACCACTGGTGCTGGCTCAATGCAGATCCTCGGGCAGTCCGTGCCACTTCCACGTGGCAATAGGGACAGGTCACTCGCCTTGCCTTCCCTTTCCCTTTGCCATACTCCGACAAAGGCATGTCCAGTGCGGATCGAGGCGCGGCTGCCGGCAATTCGCTCCGTGCCCTCTTGGGGCTACGCGCGTCAGCTGCCGCAACGCTCCGTGTCCTCTTGGGACTCCGCGCGGCCTCTGGCGCCACACTACGTGCTCTCTTGGAGCTTCTGTCACGACTGCGGCCTTCACGCCTGGCACGCCTGGGTGAGCTCTCACGTGGAGGGCTGAAAGGAGAAGGCAACTCCCTTGGACGAGCACGTAGCCCGCGATCGCTCGACGACCGCTCATCCTTCTCTTTTTTCACTGCCTTCGACTTCGACGCAGTCATGCGCCCAGGTCCGCCCCGCGTAGGTGGCTCGGCAGCTGGTTCGGGCCAGGTGGCCTCCTCATCAGTGACGTAGCTATATTCCGAACCATCACCTTCACGAGGAGTTTCCTCCGTCTTCCCCTTCGGCGCCATGGCTCCTGCAACTTCCACATAGAGGACATCGGGAACGCATATAAGAACCCCATAGTTGCTTCAGGGGGAAAACAAAAACTTACGCCATGCAATCTCCTGTGGGATTCCCGCGGAGGGATCACCACGGAGCCAAACCCTTGCAGCACTTGAGCCAATAACAGTCGACAGACACACGTCAAACATGACATACCTGGAAGCAAACACGCAGAGACACGAGCAACGACAACACGCGACACTGACAAGCAAACCTTCCAACCCCAAGGCACAAGGAGAGCAGCTGCAGCAGATCTTTTTTCAAACCCGATGGAGCATACATGTGACAGTCACGGAAAGTAGCCGCGCTCTGCACAGCAGCTTGGCGTACACAACGACCTCCGCCGACACTTCTGACATCCGTTGCGGAAACGGAGCTTGAGCGTCCGCGGTACCTTCTTCAGCACCGCTTGACGCATCTGCTCGCGTGCGGACAGGTGCGCTGACGGCCCCGTAGGCCTGGCCTTAGCCTTAGGCATTGCCTTGCCCTTAGGCATCGCCACTTTAGCCTTGCCCTTAGGCATGGTCTTAGCCTTTGCTTTGCCCTTAGGCATAATCTTTGCTTCTGCCTTGGCAGGAGACTTGCCCTTGGACTTAGCCTTGCCTCCAGTTGGCTGCACACTTGCTTTGGCCTTAGGCATGGCCTTGCTCCTGCCAGTCCCTCCCTGCAATGATCCCGTAGATCCCTCAGCGGCACAAATTGTGGCGTACGCAAGCGTGCCAATTGCAGCTGCTGGCCGCTTCAAGCCCTTCTTTGACGCAGGACGTTTCAAAGCTGCTTCCTCCAACAAACGAGCGTTGCCTTGTAATGCTTCCAACTGCTGTTCCACTGACATCTCCGGATCTTTCTGCTCGTCTTGCACATGTTTTTGTGGAAGACACCCCGTAGGTGTCTTCTCTTCCACAAGACCATCTTCAATCGCCAACAGCTCCTTTTGCGCAGGCACCGGACATGTTACCGGACTCGACAAAGATAATACTTGCTGTGTTCCAGCATTCTGCATTCCCCGCGAACATGCTTCGACAACCTTGCAGATCGCATCCACACTTAAGCCAGGTGATGCAGACCCTGAGGACAAAGAACCTGCAGCGATGTCCGCTTCCCCCTGCAGAAGTTTATGATCCTTTCGCAAAGGCATGTTGCGCACGAATTGCATGACATCAGCAGCAAACTCCTTCCGCTCCATCGGTTTCCCCGTAGGAAACACGGACTGTGCAACTTCACTGGGCAAATCTTTCCATGACACGGGCAACTCCAAAATGGTCGTGGACGATGGCGGCACAGACAAGTACTTTGTCACGACGGGCTTCTTCTGCAGGTACAAGTTGTATTTTTCCTTCGCAGTCATTCCTTGGCATAACTGAGTCCAGTAGGCCAACGCGATAATCGTTGCTTTGCTACCTTCCGTTGCAACCCGCAACGTCAGCTTCGCCGCGTGGGCGCACAGGTCAAAAAGCAACTGATCTCTGTCAGTACCCTCACGCAAAATTTTCTGACATAATTCTTCAGTCAAAAAAAAAGGCAAAGTGGCAAAATCTTGCTGCGTCGTACGCACATTATCTGCAACCACAGCCTTAGTCTTGCTCGCCAAAAGCAACCGAAACCCTTCCACGTGGGAAGGGCTCCAGACCTGTGGATCTATAGCTCCAAGAATTCCTGCGGCTTCCCCTGGACTCACTGCCGACATTTTTTCCAAAGATTTCTTTACGCCAGCAGCCTGCTTCTCAACAAAATTGGCATACGTCGCCAACTCGCGAATTCCACTTAGGAATCTTTGCGCCGCCTGCAGCTGCTTCATACACACAGCCATGACTACGGCAACATATATGGCTCCACCGAGTTATCCAATGGCTGCGCAAACGTGTGACATCACACTGCTCGCCATCCTCCAAAATATTCTATTTCAAAGTCATACATCATACTTGACATATCACTAAAAACATGTTCTTTTTCACAACAAATTCAAAAAAAACTACCCAAAACATCCTTTTCAAAAAAAAGCTAAGTGAAAGCTAAGTGAAAGCTAAGTTCAACCTATCTTTTGTCATGTTGTAGACGCTTCCACTTATAAGTAACCTAAGTCCCCCTTATGTTCGACCTAAGCGATGCATAGCATAGCAACAACTTAGGCCATATAACCACTACTTAACATATACTTACCCCACTTATAAGTCCACTTAGCTTGAACTTATAAGTCCCCTAAGTCCTAGGAGCCTCCAAAGTAGCTTATATAGGTTACCAACACTTTACTATACTTCTATAAGTCTCTTTCTTGAGTCACTCATCCGAAAACAATGTGAGGTCAACTGAGATGTTCATCAAGTAGGACTGAAAAGTGCCCGGTGGTTGCTGATCACCTTTTCAAAACCATCTAATCCCCACAGAGAAGAACCAACAAGGCTTTTATAGCTGTGTCATCCCGGACATTCTAATGATGTGCAATGGGTACACACATTATATAAATAAATGGTTATTCCAGAAAGGAACATGATGATACACCGCTGGATTTTGGTGTTATGGCTGATGGCTGAACTTCCTCTCAAAAAGTGGATGCGTTAACAGCAAACTGCTTGGTGGCTTAAAGAAAGGTCCCTGAACCATCAAACCTTGAAGTGGGATCGAATATATACTCCAACGCCAAATGAATCTAGACAACAGAACCAGGAATTAAAGCAACAGAAGATTAGGATCCAGAAATTTTGTTTGGAACTTTCCAAAAATGGTGGTACCCTGGTACCTCCTTAAATCATCCAGATGTTTCATGAATTTTCCATTACCCATAGGATCCATGTATGGTATATATGCTAACATTGGGGGTATATTAATGGTAAATGTTACCATATATAGCATAACCCATCCATTTTTGCATTTTGGGAAACCCCCATACGGATCCAGCCTTTGCTGCCAAGGGCGCGAAATTGCTGCGTGCCATCATCGAAACGCTCGGCATAGTACAAGGACAAGCCGCGCTGCCACAAGCGCGCCTGATGGATGTGGACATATGTGGACTGTATGTGCTGGTCGAGACATTTAATATTGAATATGGGATGCTGAACATGGCGAAGATTATACATACAACCCCAAAAAATAGTTAAACATTGCCCACCAGGCATCCTGATCCCCATCAAGATGGCCAAATAAAGCAATGAAACTTCCTAACCTTTTGGTTTCTTCGGGTATCTATGGTTTTCATCAAGCAATCTTGGAATCTTGGAGAACCATCCCAGTGATAAAGGACAGTAGGACTAGTAGGACATGTGTTTGTCTGAAAATGGGTAGCCCGAAACCCACCAGTTTACTCTGATTACCCGAAAATTAGTATCGCAACTTTTTGTGTTTTCTGATTTTTTTGGGAGTAGTCCCAGCAAAGATGCTGCTCAAATGTTGCCACAATTAGCGATTGTGGTTAGTGGGTGGGTTAGGATGTAGTGGGATATACCAAAGGTACGAATCTACCAAGCACTTAGCCGATCGTGGCAACATCTGTGCCATGATCAAAACATCGTCTGGCTTTCCATCATGGGAGTCGAAATAATAAAAACAAGTCTTCAGTTTCCTTCGAAAAAGGATTCCGATTACTTGAAAGATCATCCCACTTAACAACTGGCTAGTAACAGGGGTTAGTTTACCCACGTACAGGATGGTGCCCCCCAGTTATAAGTTGGTTTATAAACCCCATTAACTATAGTTATATCTGCCATAAACCATAGTTATGGGAGTTATAAACCAACTTATCTAACTATGGGGCACCACTTTGTATGTATAACTCCACTTGCTAACCGAGCCACCTTGGGATAGCCTGACTCGGCGGCTTCGTCGAAGAGTTTGATGGAGTCGTCCACACGATAATCTCCTTAGTCCAAAAGTCCAGAGTGTTCCTTTCTGAGAAAAAATGGAAAAAACGGTTGATATTTGAAGATATAATCATGGGTGATCATGGGTGCTATTAGTTTTTGTCTCTGTACTGGGGCTGACTGACAATAACCCCAAAAAAGCAAAGAAACATAAAGAAACAACATTCCCAAAACAAAGTCAGAGCTGGGGGGTAACAAACGCACATCTCTATCCACATGTTTGAAGCAGGGATGTTTGCCTCTGACACATTGGACTCAGCCATCCACGGTGTATCAATGTACTGGAACCAAGCGAAATGAGGCCATCAACATGTTCAAATGACGACCGCGCTTTCGCCTATCCCCCAATCATCACATAGCATTTTTTTTAGCACCCTTCAACAAACCATGGTTTTTCGGAAGAGGATCAAGAAACATGTTTTGAGGCTGAAAAAGTTGGGGAACGTCTTCCGTGGCCTGCCTGGCCAAGATTCGAAAGGCGTTCATCCCATCTTGCAGCAGGACAAAGGGATTGCCTGATCAATGCCCATGTTCCATCAAGAAACGGCAGAATATGCAAACCTAAAGCTTTCTGGACTAGCTACCGAAAGCTTTGGCCACCGCTACTGATTGTTTCGCATATGACATGATTCACAGGACACCCACTTCGATGCGCACAAGCAAGCATTAAAAAAAACACACACCAACAAAGATAGAAAAGTAACATCCTGCCATAGTGAAGTATTTTGATATTATACAGTTATGGCCATTTATCAGTTATAAGTACTTCTAACCCCATTTATAGAATGTATAATCCCATTTATAACCACTTATAGCTGGTAAATGGCCATAACTGTAGATTACCAAAAATATCTAAAAGTAACATCTCCACTTAAAAATCCAAACCTCTTTTTGGTGGTTGAAAAATCCAAACCTGGAAGGAATCTCATAACGGCGCCTTTAGCCTCGGCGGGTGCAGCACAACCTGCGAAAAATGCGACGGAGGAGGTGGGTTGCTGAACTCAGTTCCAGCATGAAAAATGCCGGGAGTTCAACAAGTAACACAGAGATATTCATTGGTAAGTTGAACCATTGAAGAGGCAAACCCTGAGTTTTGGAAACTGATTATCACCATACCCTAAAGTGTTTGGTCTACCATGATGGTAGGGTGTAACCGCGTTGTTCAACATCGTCAAGTGTTGTTCACCATGTGAAACCATATGAGACTATGTGAAACATGTTTAACTGTTAAACCCAATGTGTTGTTCTTTTAAAACTCTGAATTGAATATGTTCTATTGGTTTCCCCAAAAAAGTATGAAATTTCCCCCTGTTGATTGTAATCAATAGAGGATGCTCAGGCTTATGCCCCCATTCTCCACCAGTCGCTGAGACCAGCACCTCCCAACATGACCATCTGTAGCCAGGAACGGCGGCCCTGTGGGCTGTGGCCGTTTAGCCCAGCTTGGCCTGCAAACCCCAGGCCGATAGATGAAAGTATGGAAGCCTGTAATATGTATGTATGTATGTATGTATGTATATATATATACACATATTATATGATATATATATGTATATATTATCATGTAAAAAAACATACATACATACATATATCATATGTATGATTGTATATATATATATATATAGAATATGTGTATATATATATATTATAAATCATATCAAGTTGATTATGTATCCCATGATTTCCCATCATATTCCATGATATGTTCCATTTTATAATCCAAGTCACGTCCACTCCGGCGCCGGCAGTTGCTTCGGTGCATGAGGCCGACCGAGACAGCAGCCGCCTTTTCGGGACACGGCGATCCCATTGGGTCCCTTGGGGCCCACGCTGATCCCGATGTGACTGTCTAGAGCTGGGTATGTTTGCTGTAAATAACTAACCCAACCAATATAGTTACAATCCACACATATATATATATATACAAATATATATATATATTATATATATACAGTATATATATGTAAGTATGCACTTTATCGTACTTGATCATTATCATGTCTTTGGCCAGAATGACCATCCGGTAATCAATCATAACTAGATGGGAAACATAAATAATATTCTACACAAATATCTCAACAAAGTCTATTTTTTTTTAATGTATGTTCATGTTTTGTTGGATATTATATTTATTTATTTACTCACATACACACATTTTTATGAATATATATATATATATATATGTAAATAGAAATACAAATATATCTATGTATACATTCATTTTTTACAACTACCTCTATATATATATATATATATATATATATGCCACATATGCATATATTGCATATATTCATGGAATTGTTTGTTTGTTTGTTTGTTCGTTCGTTCGTTCGTTCGTTTGTTTGACTGTTTGTTTGTTTGTTTGTTTGTTTAGATACTTAAACTCATAACTACGTATGTGTTTTGATGCACATCAACAGGATCATCTGTCAACTGTCCTGATCCGCTTTCGGCAGAAAATTTGACCTCAATCCTGAATCAAGTGCAATGGCGACAAGAAAAAGATAAAACGACATAGATAGACAACATCATCTTATCCAGATTGGTTTTACCAGTAATAGACCAACTCGCACTGCAAAAAACATGATGAAGGTTTTCTTGCAGTTCTTCATTCTTAAAAATGTTCCAAGTTAGATGTTCCAAAGAGCAGGAAGTTGAGCAAGCAATGTGATAAACACAAAATGGTTCATGTCATGGTTAAAAAATGCAAAACTGAAAGAACCATTGAATGCTGAGTTCAAAAATTGAGTTCCAAACCCTAGTCACTGAGCAGGCACTTGTGCAATCAATCCTACGTGTGACAAACCTGGCGTGACAAACATGAACAAAAAGCTGCCAGGCATAGTACTGAGAATTACCTGTTTTTGTTTAAGTTTCTGGCTATGCAAAACTAAGAACATTTTTGTTAATAAACAATTGCCGCACAAGACAACTAGACTAAATTGACTGAATTCCAAATCCCCTGCCACTGATCACGTGGAATGGCAACGCTGAATGAGCATTCCGACGCATCATGAATAGAAACTAGGTCTTTTTCAAGAAAAGACTTATTCCTCTTCTATCCATGAAATCAAGTTGCAAACAAACCTGCTGAACTGCTGAGTTCCGGACCCTTGTCACTGAGCAAACAGTTGAGCAATCAATGTGACAAACATTAACAAATCACCCCATTGTACATTTTTCGAAGATTGGTTTTTCATCTTTCAGGAGGAAAAAATGCCATTCCAAGATTTGCCACAGGTGCCTAATGTCCAGACCCTCTTCACTGAGCAGCAGAAATGACAGCTGAACAGTCATTCCACTTGATCACCAATAGAAATTGCATGTTTTGATTCCAAGAATGTACTTTAGATTCTACCTTGCAATAGCACGGTTTGGTCCTTTCATTAAGAAAAATCCTTGCATGAGAAGATCTGTTCACATGCTGAGTTCAGGGACCGTGTCACTGAGCAGCCGAACCATCAATGTGACAATGAACAATTTCTACGGTCCAAAATTGGAAATGCTTTATATTTCTCTCTTCCTGGCTGATGAAATTTAAAATTGAATTCGACATCTTTGTTCAAAAGAAACATTGACTGCCGTGCCAAATAGTGAGAAGAGTTCTGGAAAACACGTTTGAAAAATCATACACATGCAATTTATGATCACTTTTTTGGAAAAGGTCTTGCATTAGAAAGCACAAACACCTTCAATAATTTAGATGATTAATGTTTTTGGTATAATCCTGTGCAATATTTTCGATGCTAATTCCATGTTTTCCACGTCTTCTTGTTTTTTTTGGTTCACGCACTGCCACCCTCCTCCATAGAAGCAGCTGTGCACTAACCCCGTTACCCAAGGTGACAAAGGTGGCACAGCACAGCAAAGAATCCGGTAAATAATAACATCTTCGAAAATGTTTTATTATTGATTTTTGATCAAATACAGACTTACATACATACACATACGCACACACAGTTGTATGACCAGACAGCCAAGCCATACGTGATGTTTATCTTCAGCAGAGTAGCAAAAAAAAAGCATTTGAAAACATCAAGAAATTTTGAACACTTCCAAAACATATAAAATGTTGACAAGCCACAGATGAACAAGTGGCACAGCCGCTGGATTGCAAAGAATCCGGTCTTGCTATGCCGGTGCCATGGATGGAAAAGTTGACGCCCTTAAATTAAAAATTCTTTGGGCTGAACTTTGCACCAAACAGAATTGGCAACAACTTGCTGCTTCAAAACGTACCATTGAACGAAAAGCATGTTTGCCAAACAGGAAAGTCAGCACCAAACATTGTTCTTCTGACACAACGACTGAATACCATTCAAGGGAAAATTCCTTATCAGCAGAAACTACTTGAAACTTGAAACAGACTAACTCTTTGACCCCTTCGACCACTTTAACCCGCTTAACCGTTTGTTAGGCCCTTGTGAACCCTTTGACCTCTTTCGACCCTTTTGCCCCTCAGTGAGACATTCTTTTCGAAAAAAACTTGCGAAACAATTGAAAAAAACGGTCAGAGGATTGTTCATTGTTACCTGAGAACACGGTGACAAAGTACCCGAACAACAAATTTAGGAAGTTGGTCAATGAAAAATCCTCTAACATATTTTCCAAGCTCTTCGGTCTTATTACACGTTTGAAACCACAAACGACTAAATAGAATCTGCCTTGGTAACCCTTTCTGCAAACAACTTGGTAACACCCTCTCTCTACCGACGTCCCCTTTGGTGGAAAAATTAAAACGACCCTGTCTTCACCCCTTTTCGTAAAACACAGACTTAGAAGAAAAAAACATGTGTCCTTAACCGGTGGTCCAAAGTTGTTGTTCCCTAAACTTACAAGTGAGAAACACAAGTCAACCGTTAACACCTGTCCCCACTCCGTCCTACACCCGAGGCCCTTCGCACTCCAGCACTGTGTTTCAAAGGCGTCGGACGCCGAGTAATGGAAAAATGCCCCGCTTATGAGGGGGGGGGTGTTCAATCGGTCCCCCACCGATCTTAAAAATCCCCTCTTATATGGGGGGTGACATGCAATCTTGTTTGAGCTCAGCTATGGGCGGAGCAAGCCTCCACGCTAGCTGAGCTCAATCAAGAAAACTCCATCCGGCAGTTGCAGCTGCCCACGCAGCAGCTGCAACTGCCGCAAGGCAGCGCCACGAAACGGAAGCTGGACCTGCCACCTGCGCCCCTCGCGCAGGTTTAGGCGAAGAAAATCCTCCGCTGCAGCATAGGCCCAGGCCCCTGCAAGCCGCGTCTCGGCACGAAAATTCACCCAAGATGCCCGCTCCTCCAGCCAGGTTGAACCATACCACGTGGCAACTCTGACCTCAGAAAAGCTATACTTTCAAAAACCCGTAATCCAAAAGAACCCCCCGAAAAAAAAAAGATGAAGCCCACGAACCCGAATGCTCACACGTATGTTAATGGTACAGATGTCAAAACACATGGTTATGAAGTCACGCACAATACCTTTCTGCAATGGTTTATTTGAACAGTCTTGTACATGTTTCCCTTGCTACCAGTCTGCAGTGTGGAGTGGAAAGTGTAGAGTGTGGAGTGCGGAGTGTGAAGTAAGGAGTGTGGAGTGTAAAGTTTGGAGTGGGGAGCGTAGAGTGTGTAAAGTGCAGAATGCGGAGTGTAAAGTGTAGAGTGTGGAGTATGCAGTGTAAAGTGTAGAGTGTGGAGTGTAGAGTGTGGAGTGTGGAGTGTAGAGTGTAGAGTGTGGAGCGAGGAGTGTAAAGTGCAAAGTGTGGAGTGCGAAGTGTGGAGTGTAAAGTGAGGAGTGTAAAGTGTGGAGTGAGGAGTGTGGAGTGTAAAGTGACGAGTGTAAAGTGTGGAGTGAGGAGTGTGGAGTTTGTAAATTGTAGAGTGTGAAGTGTAGAGTGTAAAGTGTAGAGTGTAAAGTGTAGAGTGGAAAGTGTAGAGTGTGGAGCGTAAAGTGTAGAGTGTGGAGTCTGGAGTGGAAAGTGTAGAGTGTGGTGTGTAGAGTGAGGAGTGTAAAGTGTGGAGTGTGGAGTGTTAAGTATAAAGTGTGGAGTGTGGAGTGTACAGCAAAGTGTGGAGTGTGGAGTGCGGAGTGTGGAGTGGAAAGTGTAGAGTGTGGAGTGTAAAGTGGGGAGTGTGGAGTGTAGAGTGGGGAGTGTGGAGTGTGGAGTGTGGAGTGTAAAGTGTGGAGTGTGGAGTGTGGAGTGTAAAGTGTGGAGTGTAAAGTGTGGAGTCAGGAGTGTAAAGTGTGGAGTGTGGCGTGTAAAGTGTTGAGTGTTGAGTGGAAAGTGTGGAGTGTGAAGTGTGGATTGTAAAGTGAGGAGTGCGGAGTGAGGAGTGTAAAGTGTGGAGTGTGGAGTGAGGAGTGTAAAGTGCGCAGTGTGGAGTGTAAAGTGTGGAGTGTGGAGTGTGGAGTGTGGAGCGTAAAGTGTAGAGTGTGGAGTCTGGAGTGGTAAATTTTAGAGTGTGGTGTGTAGAGTGTGGAGTGTGGTGTGTAAAGTGAGGAGTGTAAAGTGTGGAGTGTGGAGTGTTAAGTATAAAGTGTGGAGTGTGGAGTGTACAGCAAAGTGTGGAGTGTGGAGTGAGGAGTGTGGAGTGGAAAGTGTAGAGTGTGGAGTGTGGAGTGTAAAGTGTGGAGTGTGGAGTGTAAAGTGTAGTGTGGAGTGTGACATGTGGAGTGGAAAGTGTAGAGTGTGGTGTGTAGAGTGTGGAGTGTGGAGTGTAAAATGTAAAGTGTGGAGTGTAGAGTGTAAAGCGTGGAGTGTGGAGTGTAGACTGTAAAGTGTAGAGTGTAAAATGTAGAGTGTGGAGTGTAGAGTGTAAAGTGACGAGTGTAAAGTGTGGAGTGAGGAGTGTAAAGTGTGGAGTGTGGAGTGTAAAGTGTGGAGTGTGGAGTGGAAAGTGTGGAGTGTGAAGTGTGGAGTGTAAAGTAAGGAGTGTGTAGTGTAAAGTGTGGAGTGTGGAGTGTAAAGTGTCGAGTGTGGAGTGTGGAGTGTAAAGTGTAGAGTGAGGAGTGAGGAGTGGAAAGTGTAGAGTGTAGTGTAAAGTGTTCAGTGTGGAGTGTAAAGTCTCAGGTGAGGAGTGAGGAGTGCAAAGTGCAAAGTGTAAAGTGTGGAATGTAAAGTGTAGAGTGTGGAGTCTAAATTGTAAATTGTGGAGTGTGGAGTGCAAAGTGTAGAGTATGGAGTGCGGAGCTTCCCCCATAGACACGGCGACGCCACAGGAAAACCAGAGACTCGAGACGAGACACGTGGATGCAGAAAAAACAGCATTTCGTACGAGACTTCAGACTTCCTCCAATTTTCACATTTTCGACACATTATCAAACAAGTTTGGAATGTCACAAAGTGCCACGCCTGCCACGCAAAACGACATGACAACCTGCTTGGACACATTCGAATAGGAGATGTTTTCCAGCTTCCCCCATAGACACGGCGACGCCACAGGAAAACCAGCGACTCGAGACAAGACACGTGGATGCAGAAAAACCAGCATTTCGTACGAGACTTCCGGCAATTTTCACAGTTGGCAACATGACAAAAGGACACGTTTTGCAGCTTCCCCCATAGACACGGCGAGGCCACGGGAAAACCAGAGACTCGAGACGAGACAGGTGGAGCACCAAAACGAGCATTTCGTGCGAGACTTCCTCCAATTTTCACACTTTGTAGCTTCAAAATCGACGTTTTCCTACGAGTTTTCCTTAGAACCTGAAAATTTGCAACCTCAAAATCGATGTTTCGTGCGAGGCTTCCGTCAATTTTCAGCACATGTCACAAAATGCCACGCCTGCCACGGAATTTGCACCTTGTCGCCACTTGACGCAGCCCTGCCAATGCGATTTACAAAAAACACGCAACAGGACACGTCTAAAGTGCTGCGCCTGCCACGAAAAATGACGATGGACACGTCCAAAGTGCTGCGCCTGCCACGAAAACTGCAACACATCTTCTGAAAACGTCACAAAAGTATTGCGCCTGCCACGCAAAACGACTTTCGACACGTTGCAGAACACGTCTGAATGTCACGAAGTGCCACGCCTGCCACGCGAAACGAAGCAACGACACGTCTGAAACCTCCAAAAAGGACCACCTCTTCCCAATGGCACGGCCATACGGGGATAGCGCGGACGGTTGCGAACGGTTGCGAAAGGTTGCGGACGGTTGCGAACGGTTGCGACCGTGAACGCAACGTCGAGCGAACACACCCTCTTAACCCCCAGACCCCAGAGTGAAACGGGAACCCTTGCTACGCATTCGGGAAAAAGTACCAATCTTATGGAAACATTATCAGCACCAAAAAATGCATAGTAACGTCTTGGAATCGAAATGCTTACAACTGGATGCAGGGATGATCCATACATATCCCCTTGTAACAAAAAGAAAAGACCCAACCAAAACAAAACCATACAAAAAAGCATCATCAAAAACGCCAAGGCACAGCATCGTGCGGCAGGTTGAAAAAACCTAGCCTGGCCAGGAATCAAAAGGGCCCCTGAAGTCTACGATGCCCGAGAGCAACCTCAAACAGGGTTGACGTCACAACCAGAAGAAAAACATTTCTGAAAAAAGCTGTGTCCTGTAAACAACAACTTAAAAAAAAGACTTCTCGACTCGACCCCTTTAAAGTTCACCCTGGCCTGCAGCATCCAGAGGGCCCTCGGCTCCAGCATTTGCAGCAATGAAATGCTGCTGGACACGACAAGGGCAAAGGTGTTCATACTGAGAACAACGAGAAAAAAAAACGGCGCAAGGGCGAGAACAAACGAATTAGCCAAAAGCTGCTATGTGCTTCATGTGGTGACATGCCGTGAACCCGCTGGATTGGACCAAACCCCGGAAGCTGGAAGAAACACAAAGGGTAACATTAACAAAGCCCTTTGAATCCATTATTTTCGGAGGATACTAGAACAGCTGTAAAGCCAAAGAATTCAAAAAGGGAGGGATCCAAACGTCAACTCATTGAAACACAAAAGGCCCGAAGTCACTGAACTCCTTTACCCTTTTCAGAGGATTCTTACTTCATAATCAATCATTTCCTCTTGTTGTTGGTGACCCCATACAGTAACCAGATCCGTCGGACCATTCTACGTTAGCAACAAACCATAACCCCTGGGACGTATGCCCCTTTAGGCCCCCCCGGCCCCTATCCTACCCTACCCCAAATTGTACTTCGCCCAGGGGTTTAGGGCTCTTAAATTCGGCCGCAGAGGGCGTGCCCCGAAGGCCCGCCCTCTCGCCTACGAAGGGGCAGGGACGGGCCCCGGGATTTTGTTTTGTAGCTGGAATTTCAAATCTACAAATATCTACAAATGATGGATTTTCCGTTGCCATGTTTGATTACCGGAGGGTATACCCCGCATATGTTCTATTGCAGAAAATTAAAATCAACCATTGCATGTTGTTTTTGTTCTCATGTTTTTTTCACATTTCTTTTCAGACAAACACATGTTGCAGACTCATGGTTTCAGACTCAAAAGCGCCCCCCTTGCATCTCCCATATTCCGATGTTTAAGGAAACATCTACTGGAAACCATTGTTTTTACGAATGGGTTTCCTATACAGGTTTTCCAGCCAGTTCTTGGCACTTGTATTTCCCGGAACTCTGTTGAACCACCAAGGCTCTTCCAAAGTTGAGGAATTTCTTATTCCAACTTTACCACCATGGTTTTTACATAGTTTTAATCTAAATCACATCAACTTGGCGGTATATTTTACTAATTATCTTCCCATCACATCTCCAGTAAATCGCCAAAAAAAGCATCATGTTCTAAATCGCCAACCTGCATCTTGTCGTACCCCATCAACTTCTATATATATATAATTATATATATATATATATCTGGGTAAATTATGATAATTACCTAACCTGAATCTTGCGGGCCATTTCCCATGGCTAATTATGTTAGTCATAACCAGAGGGTATGGCCATATCCCACCCCCCAACATGATCAATCCCGGGGGATCCAATCGCTTGACCCTCCAAGTCACGACTCCAAAACCGCTGGCGCCGCGCCCAAAAAACCGTGGCGCCGTTTCAACGGCCCTGGCCCTGGCCCTGGCCAGCGGGGAAGCTGTGATGTCATCTTTCGGGCTTTCCTAAAAAAAATCATGGGGGTTATACAAGGGATCATACAGGTGATTAATGGATATTGATGGATATTGATGGATATTGATGGATTGATGGATATTGATGGATATTGATGGATATTGATGGATATTGATGGATATTGATTCATATTGATGGATATTGATGGATATTGATGGATATTGATGGATCTTGATGGATATTGATGGATCTTGATGGATATTGATGGATATTGATTCATATTGATGGATATTGATGGATATTGATGGATATTGATGGATCTTGATGGATCTTGATGGATATTGATGGATCTTGATGGATATTGATGGATATTGATGGATATTGATGGATATTGATGGATCTTGATGGATATTGATGGATATTGATGGATATTGGTGGATACTCTCCCCTAAAAGTAGATGGCTCAGAATCTTGAGTTGCGCCATCTATGTCAAAAAAACAAAATGGGGGGTAGATGGCTCAACTCCCTTTAAAACAGGGCAGTTGAGCCATCTATGTCCCTAAAAATGACATATTTTTTGCAATCTTCTGCGCTGGTTTCTCCCCATTTTTTTTTCTCAACATCAAGCTGCTTTTTTGGGACATAGATGGCGCAACTCCCGGGGTTGCGCCATCTATGTGGGCATTCCCAGCCTGATTTTGGCTAAATGACGGAAGTTGTTTTGAGCCAGCAAAGGTCGAGACGCTTTAAAACCCAACTTTAACAAGTGACCTGAGGAACCGTTTTTGCCGTCAAGAAACGGTTCCTCAGGTCACTTGTTAAAATTTGGTTTTAAAGCGTCTCGACCTTTGCTGGCAAAATGACGGAAGTTGCGCCATCGATGTCCCAAAAAGGCAGCTTGATGTTGAGAAAAAAAATTGGGGGAAACCAGTGCAGAAGATTGAAAAAATATGTCATTTTTAGGGACATAGATGGCGCAACTCCCACTCATTCGCCAAAATCAGGCTGGGAATGCCCACATAGATGGCGCAACTCCCTCATATCTCCCGACATCCATCAACCAACCTAACCAAAATATGCCACATCGATCAGAGTTTTCCCAAGACAGGAGGCAGTTGCGCCATATATGTCCCAAAAAGGACAACTCTGATGTCTTTCCTGGTGGTTTTGCTTCCTGTCTTGGGATAACTCTGATGTCTTTCCTGGTGGTTTTGCCTCCTGTCTTGGGACAGCTCTGATGTCTTTCCTGGTGGTTTTGCCTTCTGCCTTGGGGATTAAGGGTGTTTGAATGGGGTTTAAGGGACATAGATGGCGCAACTCATTTTCAAGGTATTGCAATGCAATTGTAAAAGTTTTTTTCAATATATTTTTGTCAAAATATGTTGAAAGATGAGATTTCTATCATTTCTATCCATAAAATTCTGTCTACAATCAGTTTTAAAACATTCAGTGGTTCATTTTCAAGGTATTGCAATGAATTTGTTCGAAGATTTGACTGCGATTTAAGGGACATAGATGGCGCAACTCATTTTTGAACCCATCGAAAAAGAAATTTCGGGTGTTTGAATGGGGTTTAAGGGACATAGATGGCGCAACTCATCTTCAAGGTATGGCAATGAATTTTTAAAAGTGTTTTTCCAATATATGTTTGTCAAAATATGTTGAACAATGAAATTTACATCCATCAATTCTGTCCACAATCAGTTTTAAAACCTTCAGTGGTTCATTTTTAAGGCGTGGCACTGAAATTTTGAAAGATTTGTATACGATTTAAGGGACGTAGATGGCGCAATTCATGTTTGAATTCACCGAAAAAATGATTCTGGCGTTTGAATGGGATTTAAGGGACATAGATGGCGCAACTCATTTTATACAATACAAATTTGTGCAATTTCACCGTATATACAAGCAAAAATGATAGGAAATGTAGTAAATTTAGTTAACAATACCCTTATATCCATCTACTGGAGTGGCAGTTGCGCCATCTACCTTTTCATTTTAAAGTAGGGCGATTTTTTCTTCAATTGGCGGACCTCGTTTTATGTTCCAGCTAAAATAGCGCCGTTTTCTTTCTCAGCGCGCGGTGCCATCTTATGGGTATTTTGGTTTTTGAGTTGAGCCATCTACTTTTACCCCAGTATATTGATTCATATTGATGGATATTGATGGATATTGATGGATATTGATGGATCTTGATGGATATTGATGGATATTCATGGATATTGATGGATATTGATGGATATTGATTCATATTGATGGATATTGATGGATATTGATGGATATTGATGGATATTGATGGATATTTCTGTATATATATATATATTGTATATCATATGCTAATATTGTACAGTTCTGCTAATTGTAATTATACTTATGTCTTGACATATGATGATAAATTCCTATGGATCCAAACAAACACTTCCTAAGACGGTACATCACCCTTTTGTTTATACCCCAAAGACTTCCTAAGAAGGTACATGGATCCATGATTGATAGACATCATTTTTTTGTGTATCAGTATAAGTACAATATTAACAGTACTGCTGATTGTAACTAGCTATGTCTCATCACCATGATTATATCTAATTGGCAATGGCTTGTATAACAGTTGTAGCAAGCCTAAACTAGATAGAACAAATGAAAAACTGAAAATCATGGAGCAAATCCATGCAAATACATGCAAATTTTGCATCCTGGAATTTTGGGGACTGTAAACGTTTGGAGATCAATCATTTTGAGGCTTCTTATTTTTGGTTTGCCCGTTCAAAAGTGATTAAATTTGACGATTTTAGGGACCCCGGTTTTACAAACCCTCGCTTCAAACCAATCACACCTTGGAGTTCTGAAACTTACTCATATATAATATATAACTTAACATATGTTTAATCAGTCTGGTGATAAAAAAACATGGTTATTTTATGCAGCTTATGACCGTGAGCAGTTGAGTCTAGGGAAAGAGTGAGAAGCTCACAAGAACTGGACCACGGGGCCACCCTGTATGCGTGGATGTTCATTCCCAGGACTTGCAGGGCTTGGATGTTAATTACTATAAATATAAACATTTGCTTGTTGGGTCATCCAGATCATAAAATCCTGCATTTTGGCAGAGACAAAAGATCTGGGTGAAAATGTCTGTTGCCATCTTTGACGTGCCGCGGGTCTTAAAGTCATCTCAATATATAGCTCTAAAAGGATGTTGATTAAACAAAAACATAGAGCATGCAAATGGATCAAATGGTATGCTTGAAGTCTCTGACTCTAGCAAGAGGTTCCAGCAATACGAAAATGTTGGAAAAGGATCCAAATGATGCGCCATTAGACAAATCATGTCAAATCTAGCCTCTCCTTCAACTCCCCCTGGTCAAGGCTGCTAAATAGATCTGTTTGTATGGGCCTGTATGGGTATAATTGTATGATGAAGAAAGGCAAACGATGTAAGCCTTAGTTGGTTGATGTTGATGATGTTTGGTGGCAAAAAACATCGTTGAATTTAAGCCAGGCTTCGAAAGCCATCCCATTTTGTGGTCCTCAATTTTAAAGCATGTCCACTTACAGCCAATCGCCGTATGTCAAGAAACCCAGCCACCACAGCCGGAATGGAGAGCACAGGAAGCCGCACTGGAAGCCACACGAAGTCCATGGTGTCCGGCGTTGGAATTTGGATCAATTTGGTTGATCAAAATCTTGGTACCCAAACGGTACCCTAAGTTCTAGCTGCTTAATGGATGGTTCCTTCCCCCACTTATATGGTAATCAGATCCAAATGGAACACCCCGAAATGGATCAAGTTAGGGACGAGTTTCCAGTGAACGTCTCACATGGTTGCTGTTGAAGTTGGGCCATCAGCATCCACATGCCACGCATGATTCTGTGCGATATGTTGGTTGTATGACTAGTATTTGGTTGTTCATGCTTGAACAATCTTGACATGACATGGCAAAACGTCTACATCGCCAACCTTGAGAGCAGCACCTGAGCTTGGAAACGGCGGATCTCCCACGCATCACCACATCCAAAATTGGATGTGAATGGGACCACTATCAGTTACTGTCCAGAAAAACATTGGGAATCAATACAGGTAGCTACAAAGATCTGCAAAGATCTGGCACAGAAACTCAAAACATCCACCACCGCCCTGAGCACAACATGTTTTGCTGTTGCTTTCCGCGCGTCAAGCGAGACAGGGCACACCTGATCGCTGACGACGTCTATTGCGTTGCGTTGAGCCCTGGGTGATCGCTCCACTGGTGATGCAAACAACTTCACACATTCTGAGCGGTCGTTTTTGTCACGTTGGATCTTATCATTCTGAGCATTCTGAAGTCACTAAGAGTCAGTGGCTATTTCACAATGATAAACCACCGATATTTATTTTCATGGTTGATACCCAAACAAATGGTCAATTTGAGGATGGTGAATCCTATATACCAACATCAGTCTTGATTTTTCTCTAAAGCGTTTCAATTTCAACGCTTTCTCGCCGCTAATCCTCAGCTTCATCGGCCATCAAGGCTCCCAGGTCGTCGTCCTGTGAGTTTTCTGCAGGTAGGGAGTAAAAAGGCCGGCTTCAAATGTCATAGCTGGTTGGTGGTTGACCTACCCCTCTGAAAAATATGAAAATCAAATGGGATTATTGTTCCCAATATATGGAAAATAATCCACATGTTCCAAAGCACCAACCAGCATAGATATGGTAAATTATGGTAAATCAACAATGGATGATATTGTCATAGATGTTTCCCCTATAATATCTAGATATGGGGGTTTCCATAAATGGTTTACAATGGAAAATCAACCTTGCAACTCTCCACATGATGGGAATAACAATGTAGATGAATGTAGACTGTTTGAACTCAATGGTGTTCCCCATCTTCATGTGATTCGCAACTCGCAACGCGCATTCCCAGAAAGGAACCCCACAAGAAGGTCAAAAAGTGCAGGGTTGATGTGGCACACCTAATAAAATTTATGCAATATATATATATACACAATACATTCCCAATTTTACCATGCAGAAATAGCTGGTAGAAACCATGGATGGTTTAATTCTTGGGTTTACCACTTTCATAGCCACTGGGTTCTTCAACACATGGCTCCACAAATCGTAGCTCCTCCACCATCTGATCGGTCAATCCTAGGCGCCCATTTGGAAAGGAGAACCGCCTCCAAAAAAAGGGGTAAAAACGTTGATTTTTACACATGAAAATTGGAGATGTGAGTGAGGAATAGAAATCATAACTTGACCACAATGTGGGGCCTCCAAGGGTATAGGCTGGTGAAAAAAAACACCCTTAACTTGTCCATAAATGGGCAACCAACTTACAACTCGTAAACGGCAATACTAGTAACTGCAAAACATGAAAATTGGAGATGTGAGTGAGGAATAGAAATCATAACTTGACCACAATGTGGGGCCTCCAAGGGTATAGGCTGGTGAAAAAAAACACCCTTAACTTGTCCATAAATGGGCAACCAACTTACAACTCATAAAAGGCCATACTAGTAACTGCGAAACATGAAAATGAGTGATGTCAGTGAGGAATAGAAAGCATCACTTCACCAGGAACAAGCCAGATTTGAGTTGCACGCATTTTGTGTCTAAACATAGGGTACACTTATAGAATCTTGCAGTTCACAGCTTGATCATTGTTTTCAACCCGTATCATATTGCTGGTTGTCTATCACATTATTCCTCACGTTTTTGATAAAATCCCCCATGTTCCCTTTTTGTTTGGGTAAACACTGGGTCCCCCAAGTCACTAGTTATAGATTATTTTCCAATCAAGATCCATAAATTTCTGGATTACATCCTATTCTTTATTGTTGAAACCGACACTTCAATCCGCATGCGATCTCATCATTCTCATCCAACCCTGACTTTTAATGGTCATCACCATAAAGCAACTTATCCTATCCCTTAAAAAACTAATTTTCCCCACAAGGCTGTGATTTTGGGTGAAATACAAAAATCCCCCCACAGTTATGGCCATTAACTAGTTATAACTAGTTATTTCTATGGGATTATACATTCTATAGATGGGGTTATAAGTACTTATAACTGGTACCAGGGCCATAACTGCACTAAACTTCACGAAACTATGATTTTTGGGTGTTCTTCACATAGGGATTTTGGTTCGGCTTATCCTGAGACACCCTGAGACACCCTGAGGCACCGGGCTGGCCGCCAAGCGTGGCTTCGGCGGAAGGATCTTGCGGATCATGTCCTTCAGCACTTCGCTCGGCTCTTGGACCTCGAGTGCTTGGGACGGACCCTGCGGGAGGGCATCGTAGGGGATCCGCTACAGCTGTGGACACATAATCTATATTGTGTAAATTGTGTATATATATATTTTAATATGTTTATATGATGTATATATATATACGTATATACAAAGTATAGGCAATGTTAATGTGTATATTGACTGTATGTATATAAAGCTAAATCGGCGAATTATCTGTCTAACTGACAATCCAATGGAATCGAATCTATACAGACAAAATTACTTTGTTTGCCCTGGCTCGAAGCTACACCCTTCAAACCTTAGCCTTAGTCAACTGCCAAATGTCATTCTCCATGAGCCACAGTCAAAGGTAACAATCAGCGCTGCGACCAGTGAGGTTGCTGCAATGTTTGAAACCAACACCGGCTGTAAGATTGCTGTCTCAACATGTCTCAATCATAGTTTGGGTGGCGATTTCAGTACTACGACTTTTCCCTTCGGCAGTTTAGTACAGATAACAGTGTCTATACTATGGTTATAAGTTTGGGGTCTACACTTCAAAAACTCGGAAATCAATCTCATCCCATCCCCTTAATATCAACACCCAGAAACCATGGTACACTAGGATCGTTTACGGGGTGTTTTTCCATGGTTTTTTCCTCTTGGATGGGACGAATCGAATTGACCAACAAATCTGCTCCCAGGCTCTCTGAGGCACCCAGACTTTCACCCACACATATTCGTTGTGATCCCTCGGTTCGTCGCTGGGATGGGCGAACATGCGTTGTGTCCACTATCACAGTGAAGATTTTCCCTAATTTCATAGATTTCCAACATATCCAAATCAATAACTTCATTGGGTTTCCCTAAATTATTAATTGGGTATCCCTAAATTCATAAATGTCTAAATTAGCATGGCCATAAATGCCATAATTGGCTAGTATATTCACCCAAGTGTAGTTCATGACTGAACAAAAAACTTCGCAGCAGCTGACTTTCAGCTGACTTTTCAGAGGGCCATCCCAAAGAGAGACTTAGGAATGGCCTCTGCCTCGAAAGCATGGCCGAAAGCATTGGGATTTGGGTTTGACAGAAAACACAGTTATGGCCATGGCTACCAGTTATAAGTGGTTATTTCTATGGGATTATACATTCATATATATTCTATAAATGGGGTTTTGTCAATACTTGTAACTGATAGCCATGGCCATAACTGCAGGGCACCCCCCAAATTTGATCATATCTTCCCCACTGGAATCACCAGTTTTTGGCATAAACACACACACACATTGTGATGCTTACAACCCACCTCGTCATATCCCTATAAATTTTAATGCTTAAATTAAATCCACAGTTCACTGATTTTGTTTGATGGAAACATATTTCTGGGCAAGTTACGATAACCATATAACACTTCTGACAGATTTGCACGTTTTGGAATTACAAGGATTTATGCTTAGTAAATCCAGGTATTAATATATAATCTCTATGGCCGATTAAACCCTTCTCATAAATCCCATTCCCCACGGAACGAGTTTTGTCTCATGTACCCTGCAAAATCCTTTTTTGGTGCACCCCATGTTCAGACTCGCCCAAAATCATATGGTTGGTTGTCTGTGTTTATATACGGAGGTTTCCTAACCTAAAATAGGGGTAGTCCCAAATCATCCAAGTCATTCGACTATTTTAGAGTGGAAACCCATGGTGACTTGGGGATGCCCGATTTTAAGAACCCCCATGACATCCCATGAAATCCTATACTTGGCTGGTGCATCGCGTGAAAAATCCTGCGGTAATCTCCATGTTCAGACACCCAAACAATATTAGGTTCGTGATATATCTCATCAAAACCCATCAACACATGATTAAAGCCCCATGGAATTATGAAAAAAACATAATCATCATTAAAACTTCAAGTCCAGTAAATCACCACTCAATCCTATAGAAAATACCATTAAATCCCATGGAAAATTCCATTGAAATCCCATGAGAATCCCATTAAATACCCATCAAATCATATAAAATCCCCGTGAACTTCCAGTAAAACCCACTAAATCCTAGTGAAATCTTCCGTTTCCCCAATTGAATCATGTTAAATCACAATTTTCCCTATTAAAAACACACATGTTCCCTAGGTCAATTTTGTACCCCTTCATCCCAGATATGTCACTCGCGTATAGCCTGACGACAACAACAAAACACCTCGGCCCAGGCGCGGCTTCCTGCTGCGCCGCAAGCGCTGCACCTCATGAAGGCACCACAAGCGGCGGTTGCAGCGGCCTTGAGGTGGAAGTTTGATGGATATTTCATGGGATGCAGGTGTTATCAGGAGTTTCTATGATCGCTTGGAACCAGCCAAGTGCTGGTGAAATGGGACTTAATGGTTTAATGGACATATCATGAGATTTGATGGGGACTTCATTGGATTTCAATTCCGTTGTACTGGGATTCTAATGGGATTTATTGCGATTGAATAAGGACTTCATGGATATTCAACTGCACTGTAAAAATGATCATTTAACGGTGAATCTAATAAGGATTTCATGGTTTTTAAAGGAAGTCAATAAGGGCTTCATGGGATTGGTTGGGAAGCTACTGAGCTATTTGATGGGGACTTATGGTCATCGATCGAATTATAGGATCAAACGGGATTTAAAGGGTCGAATTTGGGATTTCGATGAGATTCTCATGGGTTTTTGATGGAACTTACTGGAATCTGAATGGGGAATCTTTATGTGGACTTGCTGGGGACTTTTTGGGACTTGACGGATCATCAACCATGGGGAATGTGTCATATTTAAGTTAACTGTGTTTTTTTTTGTGGTGAATTTCATGGGGAATTCAACGGGGATTTCAATGGAATTTAGTGGTCAAAGGGGATTTCAAAAGGGGATTTCATGGGGATTTCATTTGATTATATAATCTACCTTGTGAGGCCCCCGTTCGATAGCTAAGTTGGTGAACGTAACTCCAATTTCACTATGGTAAACATGGTACGCAAATAACGAACTAGTTGCTGGGGTTATTTCAACCAACATTCACATCACTGGGGGGCCTCTCATAATCTACCAATATATGCAGATCGTGGGGATATCTTTGGGATCCGGGATGCGGTGACCCCGAGATTCTACCGTGAAATCTATGGGCTAAGCTAGGGAAAAAAAACAAAAGGACGGTGAGGCCCCAAATGCTTAGTGGGATATTGTGGTCAATATAACGGGTTTATGATGTGATAGTGGGATACAAAATAATGATTTGCTAATAATGAGTAATAGAGATATATAGATTAATAATGATTAATGTATAGTATTGTATATATATATAGTTGGTTCCAATGATGGAATGGATATAATGAAGCGGTCCAATAATCTGGGTAAAATAGTTTTGGACATGTCTTTTGACTTGCATGGCCATTTCAGGAACCTAAATTTTGGGAACCTACCACAAATGAACCCTATGCAAGGGCTATGTAGGGGTATAGAAACGGGTTTCCCAGTCTCCAGTTGATAATTGGGTCCATCCCAATTTATAATTTACAGTTAAGGCCTTTTACATACCAGTTATAAGTCAGTCATAATTCCGTTTATGGTTCATGATAACCCCATTTGGAACCATTGAAACGCATATTCGAACTGCATGGTAAAGGGCTTTTTCAGCGTATTACATGCAAAAAAACGAAACACTTCAAGGGCATGATCTATTGAAGGGCTCGTGCACTGCCCGTCAAAGCATTGGCTAAGCACCAGCTTGAATGAGGTCATGTGGTAGAGCCAATGACCTTTTGCGGATGTCACTTAGCATGTCCCATAAGCTCCATGTGTGGTATATTTACCTACATTTACCCCAAAAATTGCCCAAATGTAGGAAAATATTCCATACATGGAGCATATGGGTATAGTTTATTCTTGGTGTTGCCACATTGCAGCAATTGAATGTTAAGTGCTTGTAAATTCGTTCAATTTTGGTGGATATTATGGTCCAAACGCCTGCTGAGACTTAAGGTTTGATTGTGGGTGTCCGAACACATTCTCAGGAGGTAGTTGGAATGTGAATGTGCAAAACATTGCAAAACCCTTTAGAGAACATTAATCAATAGAAATTAGCAGTAAATGATGGATAATATGCTATGGAAATGTGAATAGATGCTGATGAACATGATAAATATAGACATACTAGTAACTAAACAATGATGCTCAGGCCAGAAAACATGTACGTAGATTTACCCAACCATTGGTATCTACAATAAAAAAACGGGTTGAGAATAGCAATATATATATATATAGATAGTCATCCCCAAATAGATGGAAAAGTAAATCCCGCTCCGTTGCAGCCCCAGTGGACAATTTCAGTAACTGGAGGCAGAGAACATCATCAGACGGTCTATGTGTAGTCCGTAAGTTTTTTTGCCACCTGCAAAGTGTTTAATGAGAATATCCAACTAAATCAATTAAATATAAAGTTGGTAAGTCTTGAGCAACTGCTTTTTTTTTTATCCCACTATTTTCCCAGCCTGTGTTCAACTGGAAAGGCGGATATGAAAGGGTATGAACACCGACAATTCAGGTACAACTGAGAGGAAGTAACAGTAAGGTCCAGGTCCATGTAAGGTCTGAGTCTATGTAAGGTATGTGAAAAGTAGATAAAATCAGGACTATGTAACTATGCAAAGGAAGTTGCAAGGGAAACATGCACATGACAGACTAACACACACACAAGGCTTGTTGAAAAAGCATTGGCGACATATTGAGGCTGTCAAAGGGTCGGCATGAACAACAAACATGGGACGAATAGACGCATCAGCAAGACAAGTATGGGATAGTATGGGCATGGGCTAAACTTGTGCACAGCATCCCAATATTTTATAAGTAAGCACGAAACAAAGCCCAGAAATCTGTTGTTTTGCCGGTTAATGAATTATCAAATGAACAGTTGCTGTTAAATGACCATCAATCAAATCTATTTGTTCCAGGGTTGATATTCATACTATCAGTTCCACCATCACTTTGTGGTGCCGACGACAGCAGTCTGAGAGACCAACTGATGATGCGATCGTCGATCCTCAGAGCGAGGAGTTTCCTGGGCGAGCCAAGATGGTCAAAGAGGGAGCGAATGGAAAAAAAAAACTGATTTCACTTGTTCTCTGTTTACTTGGGTACATGCACTCTTCATCAGCAAACTCTTTGAGTTAAAATATTGAACACACATTTACATCTTGTTTTTTGTTTTAAGTTGCGCTATTTGAAAACAATATAAATCAATCTCAAGAGGAATTGTGTGGCTCTGTGGGTCCAGTACATTCAATAACCAGGTCATGCAAGCGCTTGCATGCCATGCATTTGGTTTTTGGCTCCTGGTGGGCCCCTGGTTGGCGTCGTCATAGAAGAAATTTTATCGGAGGGCAATTTTGGAACATCAAAATAACACAGATAACTGTCATCTTTCTGGGAACTACAGGACTTGCATGGACTTGCTATATCTGACAATTTTGGCACATCTACACTTCTCAGACTTCTCAGTCTCAGGTCTGTCTTTTTCCAACCATGTCGATCTGACAAAGCTCTCAGCAAAATCTTTAAATGACATGTAAAACAGACCCAAATCAAATAGAAACCCATCTTGCGATGGTTCCCTTACTAGCCATGATGCAAGATGAGACCGGCGTCTGAGATCGCCCAAAACAGAAACAATCCTGCAATGTGGTGCCCCCCTCAGGCTATGCTACAATGTTTGTCCTTCATAAATCCAACTCGTGTTCTGGGTCTGACAAAAGGTCACAAAAATATAATTCCACTGTTTAGCATCATTTTCCCTCCAAACAATGTGTTTTTTTCAGGCCCACTCAAATATGAGATTGTTGCTTATATGTTCCATACATATTGGAATATTAGATTGCTTATAGTCATACAGATTGTTGCTTATATGTTCCATACTTATATGTTCCACTTATAATCCACTTAAATATGAGATTATTGCTATATGCGAATAAATTCCATACGAGTACATATTGGTTGGTCAATCCCATTATACCAATCCTATGGTTAATCACAATTTTCAGAGACATCAAAATCATGGACTGAGTTCGCAGACAAACCCCAGAAAAACCTCTTGCTTTTGATGGATATATCATTATCCCATATATCCCACACAGATATGGGATATATGGGATATTGCAGCAGCGTTTTTGGGCAGCCCCGCATGAAGGGATATTGTTTCACGTCCAGCGGATCCAACTGCGGCGGGACCAACCCGCATGGGCCCCATGGGCCAACAGGATTCGTGTGGAAGGGGTGAATAGAAGCTATCTACAAGCCATATAGCCTCAGAATTATGGAACATAACTATGGAAAATGCTACTAAAATGGATGATTTGGTGGAATAATGGGATAATAATGGGATAATATGATTCATAACTATGGGACAATCATGGGATTATGAACCATATGGATGAATTAATTGGGATAATCATGGGATAATAATGTGAATAACTATGGAAAACCAGCATGTTTTATGGGTAAATCAACTATACATGGTCCATTTTCCATAGCTATGTTAGTTTACCAGGGGTATCGTTGCTATTCATACAATTTCAACAGTAAGTGGTGTATAATATGGGTATTCCCCACTTTCCAACTATGATGGACCCTCAAGTATGTCAAATTATTCTCATGAAATGGCCAGTAAGGCTTCTATTGACCAGATACAAAACAAATGAAAACCAAAAACACACAGCCAAAATAAACAAACAGGACACATCAAAAAGAAACAATAACTTTAAAGCAAACATGTTTTTTTTTTACTTTGTGTGATTCCGACATTTATCTTGACATTTATTCCGACATTCTAGCCGGGAAGGAAACAGGCATTCTATCAGACATATATTCTGACATACTACCTGACTTTTGATCTCACAAATACTCTGCTATTGTTTTCTGTATATTCTGACATTAAATGCAACATTTTATCTCACGTATATTCTGACATTCTTTCCGGTGATTTATCTCACACATATCTGGACATTGTTTCTGACAGTTTACCTATGATCTGGCATTCTTTCTGGCATTCTTTCTCGCATTCTTTCTGGCATTCTATCTATGTTTTTATTTTTTCTTGCATTCTGCAGGACATATATTCTGACATTCTTTCTGACGCTTTATCTCACATACATTTGGACATTCTATCTGGCATTCTTTCTAGCAATTGCTTAGGCATTCTATCTGACAAATCTTCTGACATTCTAGCATGCATTAAATCACCATTAAATCACAATTAAATCATCACCCATAGGATCCATGTATGCTATATATGGTGACATTTACCATCAATATACCCCAAATGTTAGCATATATACCATACATGGATCCTATGGGTCATGCATCAAACATTAAGCATTAAATCCCAACTATCTCCACCAAACATGCTGAACAAACTAAGGGCATGCCTGGAGGATCATCGGTTTCTCCTTACGAGGACGCGACTCGATCCAAGTTTGGTTCACCATCAAATAATCCATCATATGCCATGATTTACCATCATTTGCCATTATTCTTATATCCATACCATTTACCATACCATTTACCATCATTAATTATATTCCTTAGCTACCATGCTACCTTAATATTTCATGGGATTTATCTTCATTTCACGGTGATCATTGATCCATCCCGCACCTCGCCAGAGCGCATGTCCGCCACCGTGCTCTGCAGGTGGCGACCACAGGTGAAGCGCTGCGCGATACCTCAAGGCGCTTTCGGAATCGCCAACCAGGAGACGGCGCTCTGTCAAAAAAAAAGATGGTAACCCCAATAACTGTGGTTTATCATTGTATACTTATTAAAAGTTAATCACGTTTATGTATTTTTATTCATAAACACATGATTCATCATGATAAACATTATGGACTTATTTAATGTATAGCAAAACAATACTTAACATAGGTTTGTAACTCCAAGAACTATGGTTTATCATACTATATCATACTTTCATAATATAGCAACTATAGTATGCATGGGGTTTACACCAACAAACATCACATAGTGGCAAAACCTACAGGATAAAATTACCTATCCAAGGATGGGGATGAAAATCGATGAGCATGGCACGCAAATGGCACCCTTTTAGCAAGAAAACACAACATGGACACATGATATTAGTAGGTCTTTAGCATGTCTGAACATCGGAAATCGGGATTCAGCCATCAATAGCTGGGGATGGAGAAAACTTAAGCACCAAGCATTGAGAAAGATGGTGGTTGCCATTGTCATGACACTTCAATACCGAATACATGCGCTTTTGGTCATCCAACAATATCCACCCCATTACATGACACTACCAGGTTTTCCTCCTAATCATGCCCTCAGGTATATTGCCCATGGGGCAAGTGGGTGGGGAGAATAGGTCAGAACCCCAAAGTGAACCAACCCACAAGAAGCACAGGGTCGCATCTGGAAGGATGTTTATATGAGTAGCGGACATCTCTTTTTTAATTCAATTAATGTAATGTTATGATATGTTATGCACAAATTAGCGTCGTCCCCTATCGGTTGTGAGGATTTCAATACTCCCGGAGGTATCACAAATGAGGTAATTATCAGTAAAGGGTCGTCTCGTATAGGTTATGAAGGTTTTGTGCGACCTCAGAAAGGCCAAGGCGAAGCAAAACCAAATTAGTATTACAATAATTTTGTCAGTTACTACTATGTCCTTCGCATATCATCTGTGTGTGCGATACTTGTTGCGCTTGCATGACTGGGTGACTTTTCGACAAACATGGGTAGATCTGTCATATATACACCGATGGTCTTGGATGTGGCTGCAAAAGATTAAGAATAGTGCCAATCAACCTGGAGAAATGTGCCGTTTCTGACTGTTTGAACCATCCGATTTTGGAGGTCCATGTTGTGGGAGTTTCCCAAACCTGCAATACGCCCAGTGCTGAACCCAGCCACTGTCTTGTGAGAACTCCACTTCGTCCTCAGCCAGTTTCGAACTGACAGAATCATGAGGCTAAATCCCGTGCCAAAACAAGCCCAAACTGCTGAAACCACCTCATCCATGCTTTATGTTATGTTTGTTTTGGTCGAGTGCGAGCACAACTTCAGCTTGAGATGCCAAAAGGGTTTGTAATCTATTTAGAAGCCAGCATTCCATCATAACAACTTGAAACTGTGACCAAGTCCCAAAAATATCTGGGCAAACTACTATATTTCTTCAGCATCCTTGAGATTCCCACAGGAAAAACATGACGAGATGCTGAAACCCGTTGAAGTCAACTGCTGAAGGGAAAGGAGGTCATTCCATGTACGGTCGTTTGAAAGATACATCTTTGACACCACTTAAATAAACAGTATCAAATAGCATCAAATAGCTATATACAATGTTTTTCTTTTAAAAAACATGTCGGTTCTATGTTTCTTTGTCCATGAAAATGTTTTTTTTGTTCCCACTTGTTGGCTCCACCACCAGCTGCGGCTGGGATTCGACCGGAACTTTTAACGTCTCGAAGCGGAGCGGCTTTCTGCACCGGCGCGACCGGTGATTCCAACTGCTTGAAACATATTGGTCCATGGGTATGGTCCTAAAGCAAGTTGAACATGAAACATGTTTAAAACCTGTTGAAAACATGTTGAAAACCATCAATCTGATCAGCTATGTATAGATATATATATAATATATATATATATATGTATGTATATACACAGGATTCCTTTCATACTGTGGAATGTGATGCCTCGGAAACCATGCAGGTACTACCACCATAGTAGTGAACATACGTAAACGAAAATAAGGGCGTGCACTGATCCTTGGAGCACACGTCTCGGCCTCTCAAATTATGGGAGCGTAGAGTGAAGTACCATCTGGTAATTTAACATAGCTATTGAAAATGGCCATAAACATAGTTGATCTACCCATTAAAAATGGTGATTTTCCATGGTTTTCTGTATGTTTACCAGAGGGTACAGCATTACACCGAGCAAGCTGTCGTGGCAAGTGTGAGACCTTTGGATACATGTCCAGGCCCGAGAAGCAGCTACCATGGATGGTAGAATCAATATCCACCAAAGGATGCGGAACCAAATCAATCCCTTAACATCTGGTGTTCGTGAACAGTTCATCTGTGGTTGCAAAGGCTTGATTTTTTGGTCACCAACCAATATTGGTTTGGTTCATACCTCTTTTTTTGATGGTGAAATCCCCATGTAGGTGAATGAAATCTGGCGTTGCTGTTCTTAATTAATTTCAATCTTCTCCAGCGAAAAAACACACACCTGAATTCCACTTGATTCAACATTTGTATGCCAGAATCAATCCCAATACCACTTAATATTCATAGACGATTTTAAAGATATATTTCTGGTTGGTGGTATACCTACCCCTCTGAAAAATATGACTTCGTCAGTTGGGATGATGACATTCCCAATATATGGCAAAAATAAAATTCATGGTTCCAAACCACCAACCAGGTATTCATTAAACCATCTTAAGCCATGGTTTTCCTTTCCCGGGCCATCATTTTCCTCATGGAAACCCCACCATTCGCTGCCTCCGGGGGGATCGAGAACGCTTCCTCTCGCGATGGAGCTTCATGGGTTTGGGACATGATATAACTATAGGTAGTGGGGTTTATAAACCAACATACATCACTGGGACATCACCTTGTATAATCTAACTTTAGTTACTAACAGTTGGTTCATTCATTGAATGGCCTGGAATTATGACATAAATTTGTTGATCTACAAGTTACTTCATGGTCAGAAAGACAAGTAAATGACTGCTACATGTTTGGGATATAATATTTTTCTTCCGCCAACCAATGGTCTTAGATCCCCTAAGACTCAAAATTTTATTTTGCAGAACCGACATCTAAAATTTCTTTGGTGATCAAAGATCTGGAAACTTAGGATAAAAAAGGTCTACTTATATTTTGGGGTACATCTCAATTATAGGGACATGGCCGGCCCTGCAAGATACTCCTGTGGATTCTTGGACATTGTGCAAGCCGAATCGATCACCCAAACAGGAGAGTCCATCCCCCCGGAAAAGGTAACGACACATACACATCGGTATACAATTGGTTTATGCCTGGAAGAATGTATATCTGCATGGCTTATTACTTGTTATATACTATGTGTTGTTTTACTGACTGCAAATGCACCCTCAAAGTACAATGTGGACCCCCAAAGTGAGTATATATAATAGTAAGGTGGTTTATGATCCTATCAACCTATACAGTAGCTGTAACTGTCATAAACATCCAACTCAGCCAATAAACCATACTCAACCCAACTATAAATGAACTTGGCTAAGATTTGGGACCCCCAAACAGTAAATTATTGTGCCCTTCAACTACCACGACCACACAGTTGGCTGCCGTGCTCCTCGCCTGGGTGGCGGTTCCATGGGTGGCCTGAGGAGTGAAAGGCGCATAGCAAAATATTATAGGATTAGTAACGGATTAAACTACCCATCCAAGGTTGACCTAGTCGATTGGTTGAAGGGAACATCCAAAAGGGAGAATTGTTTTTTTTGACATCTTTTGACAAGGTAAACCCTCAAAAAACAAGTTTTTTTTTTTTCCTGACGATATATATATATATGTTTTCGAGTTTGTTTTTCCGAATGCTATACCTTTTTGACACACATCTATGGTGTCAGGCCTTCCAAGAATTCACTGTGAGTAGCAAAGTAGCAACGGACCAGCACCTCTTTGGAGAGGGCATATTTCTTTTGGGGGGGGTAAATCTGCCACATTACAAGCAAATACGGAACTAAAAGGGGAATCATCCCGCGAAATCCAAAAAAAAAAACATTCACCCTGAACCAAAGCCGGGAGCACTGACCCCTCCTGACTATCATCTGACGTAAAAAAGTGTGGTCTTTGCTAGTTTTTCATAGTTTTTCCAGGATCATTGATCCGATTCCTGAGTTGCTTCAAGCCCATTTTGCAGCCATTTTTTTCCTAACTCACAGGACCAACAACAATTTTCTTGCAGCAGTTTCTCTCCTGATTTGGTGTATCCGCGGACTTTTAGCTGCTTAATTTTGAAGAAGCTAAATGTGAATAATATATGCATGTATATAAATACATGATACATAAGTTGCTTGGTCTTGAGATTGGCAAATCTCCAAATCCAATGCATCATTGACATGTTCCTAATCAAATGACGGCATGCCTGTCCCGCAAAAATGCTCATTGAACCACATTTATCAGTGGACACCAAATCTGTTGATCAATAAATATGTTTCCGGAGTGAAATTGCCATAGATTGAATATACTAGTATATATATACAACAATACATATGCATATGCATATGTATACACAATGTTCAGATGCACCAAATGATATTATTACAAAACATAAATACCATTGTAATCAAAAAGAACACGTGAAAAAATATAATGATCAATGATCTCCCATATATATACTATATATATATGTATAAATATATATATATGTATATAGAAATATATATATATGTATACATAATCATATATATATGATATTAAATAATTATATATATATTGTAGTATGTACATACATATTGGCGTCCCATATATTGGCATGGGTCAAAACCTATTATTGCCACACTTGGGGGAATAACCATCGATTAACCAGCTATTCTAGAGTGCCTAGGTCCCCATGTCGCGTTGAGTCGCGTTGAGCTCCCCGGCTTTTTGGCCACGGCCACCGCCGGAAGTTTCACCTGGTGCACCGGGATGGGAACGTCCATCTTTTCACCGGCGGCCTGCGCGACTCATTGCTGAGATCTGGCAGATTTCTGTGGGGAAGTGACCCTCTGGAAATTTAACATCGCTATGGAACATGGACCATTTATAGATGATTATTAAACATGAGAATTGTCCATAGCTATGTTAGTTTACCAGAGGGTATATGATATTCAGGATTCTGTGTTTACAATTGTTTTATATATGTTTGTCGGTGATTCTCTCATGTTTCTTAAAATTGCTCATGATGCCTAATGATTGTTAATGATTGTTCATGATTGTGCGGCGGTTACGATTGTTAACGATTCTTATGATTTATCAAGACACAATGAAGGGAAATCAAAGAAAATAGAAAATTACTGCGCTATGCTGCATGTGTTGCTGCAGCAAAAGATGCAGGACTTGTTCCTTGGAAAGTTCCAAGGAGCAGTCAAATCGCAACTGGAGAAATCATGTTTAATGGGTTTTCATGGCACATGGATTAATTAAACTTTGAAAATTGAATTGGGGTTCCCAAGGAATATGCCGGTTTCGCCTGTTCTGGCGGGGTGAGAAAACCTAGGGTCCATTTATCCCTTGTCTTTGGACATGCTCATTCAGTGAGCCACAAACGATTAGCTCCCAAAAGTGGGTTTACAAGTGGGCAACTGTCGCTGTGCATCCCAGTTTAAGCACAGGAAGGTTACATGTCAAACAACATCATCATGTCCATTGCTTTGATAGTTTTACAACCTAACCAACCATAAATCCGGCATTAAACATCAATCCCCTACAGTAGTTGCATGAACGCAGCTGGCTTTATGTAGACTCCATATCATTTTCACATGTTTTAGATACATGGAGAACAACACCACTTGGAATTTTTCGGCGCCATCCCGGCGGACCCTTCGCCAGAAGAGCTCGTCTGCAAACTGGTCCTCCACATATCGCACCTAAAAGCTTGGCGTAGGGGCCCAAGATTTTTCATCGCAACATGGGGAACAACAACACATAAGCCATAAGCACATAATCCAAATGGGAATTGAATGGAAATGATGGATTCATGTTCGCAGGTACCCAAGGTATCGATTTTCCTTCACGAACTTCATCATCGTTATGTTTTGTTACAGGTTTCTCAGGACAATAAAAAAAATATATACAGAAATATGGAGTGTGATTCTTTGAGACCGCTAATGATTATCCAGAATGGATCAAGATGATGTGATAAACATCTGCTCATGGTCTTCTTCTCTCTCCAAAAAGGAATGGCTAGAAGACAATGCTTGGTTTCACAGTTCTAGAGACTTCCACATGTACTAACAGGACCTTGACCACCACAAGCAAAGAACTACCACCATGCACTTCTTGTAGCGGGTAGCAGTTGTCTGTGCCGAGGATCTGACTGTGTACCAAATCTCTTGAGTCAGTTGTATCCTCATCACAGGGCTCAACCTCGGAATATCGCTGTGATGTGCTTCTACATTGGTTGTTATGGCAAAATCTCTGGGAAGCTAAGTCTTTAAATGTCTGTTTAAACATCATATATATAATTATAATATTATATATATATAGAGAGAGAGAGAAAAAAAGAGAAATCCTGCACATTTTTTCTTCAACCAAATCTGAGGAGACATCTAGAGAGTGCGGTTTCTCACAGTCGCCACCATCTCCCTGAGATTATGAAATGCCCCGCAACCCCTGGTTTGGTAACGGATTGGTATCTTATCTACTCTTTTTGGAGGGCCACAAAAAAGGGAACCAAATAGGCTTGGGGTATTTTCTGTTGCTTTCCATGTGCTCAATTTTGGACGAGCCATGGTCAGGCCCGTCAATGGTGCCCATCAAAATCAAGCCAGGCACCTTATCAATTTGTGATTCTAAGAGCTGGGTATGTGAACTGCACTAATTATGTATATATATATATAGGATGTTCTGGAGTCAACGGTTTGCAATTGGGCTATGAACTTGTCTCGTGAAACTAGGGGGTGTTCCTAGTTCAAAGGCTGCTTGGCGCCTGAAGATGACATGTACAGCTTTCGTGTCTGGAAATCTGGTCGCTCCATATTGCTCCATGAGATTTGTACCTCTTTCCGGGAACAATCACCTTCAAATGGTTAATTGATCCTCGGCCAACATCTTTGACGGGATATGTCATAAACTGGTAAACCCACCAAGGCACCCAAAAGCACAACACCTAGGTCACCTAAGTGCCTGGCATGGCCAGACCTAAAAACTGCCCATGTTGCGCCCAGGAACCAGGGGGAAAACAGCTTGTAGGCCTTGTAGGCCTCGGCCGATAACTGGGTAGGCTGAGAAGCCACTTTTTTGAGATCCCAAGAATTTGGGTATCAGGTCGTGCCCCAGTAACTCGGTATGCTAAGTTGGTGGAAACAACATGAAACAACTAGGCCAACTGTTGGGTTTAAGGGTGTTATAACATATTATAACTGTAAATATCTGAGTTGACAGTTCCTTGGATTTGCATCCTAGCTAGGCGCTTGTAACTGGGCATTACCATGACGATTAGCACTATGTACAATGGATTCTGGTAATCTCACTTGTCGGAAGTCCCGTTCCAAGAAAAAATCATGAATGTCAAATATCAAAGTAACACATCTGTACCGGTGCTTCCCTTTGCAGAGAAGCCGTTGGCCACTTATAGGATGTGAACATACAAATGTCACTATAGTACATGGCAACTTGTGGCAGCAGTTCCACTCATAAGTGGATCTATTTCAACTATAAGCTCCCCATATCCCAACTTCTGGGTTAACCTCGGTCTAAGCTGCACACATTCCTCAGGTGGTTATAAATTTTTTCCTTGGGCGCGTTGGGCGCGTTGGGCGCGTTGCAATGTTGCAATCAACCATGGCGGGGAATGGGAAATCTCCCATGGGCATTGAAATTAGAAGGTAATCAAACTAAACGGAAGATGTTCCAGTAAGCCATTTTGGATTGCTTGGTAAAGGAGCTGGGATTGATTGCGCTTGAAACCTGCATGGCTTCAAAGTCAACAACAAACAGTAGTTTTTGAAATTGGTTCATTTGTGTAAAAGACTGAGAGCGGATTTGATCCGTTGTCCAACGTGTAATTTCTTCAAAACATGCATCCAGTCATTGGATACACCTGTGTGGAATCAGAGATTCCTACTGATTTCCGATCACAAAGCTGTCAACTTAGGGATGTTCCAAAACGATTATCATTCTGGTTTGTATACGCCCATATGTTTATCCATTTACAGTAGAGCAAACACAAATGAAAAATCATGTTGTACACATCCAGTAATCTGCATAAAACACAATATATAATCATCAAAAATCTGTGTAAGTCTACTAAACTGAATGAAGGCCATTTTGGAACTACTAACGTCACGATGTGAGGTCATTCTAATTAATCCAAATTAACGGATACCAAGTCAGGTTTTAGATTATGCTTGGTATATTCGTCTATCCAATATATTTAGAGCAACAAGAAAGAACACCGGTGCTGTGCACATCCAGTGATCGATAATGTCAAGCTTGGGTTAATAAACCCCAAACGGCTGTTTAATTGGCAGGGGGATACCTTTAAAGTATCAGGAAGAAAGAAGCAACAACACACCTCGGGGAGTACACCACCAATCAAATTATTCAGGATTGACATTACCCAACATGTTAGCTAAGTTGGTTTAAAACTGCAATAACGATGGTTTATGCGAGATATATCGGTTTACAACTACAATAGTGATGGTTTATACGAGATATATCTATAGGCAATGGAGGGGACACCACATCGCAACTCTATAGAACTTGTTTTCACCGGTCCCTGGCTTCCCTGGGCACTTCCGGCTGGAACTTTTGGTGGCAAGGGCATCCTGTGTGAAAGGCTGGCCATTGATGAGTGAATTTGAGCGTGGTTATTCATCATACTAGGGATCTAAGAGGATTTACCTAGGATTTACTTCTTTTATGTTTTTATATGGATGGTATTTGGGATATTCATGCGGATATATCTCCAATATTCACTAACTTATGAGTTGAGTGTGTCTAAAATAGGGTATACGGTATACCCATTTTATATGGAGAAAGTTAACAGTCACCACTGGTTTGTTTATTTCCCCAACTTTTTCAGGCAAGACTGCCAAGACCACTTGGATGGTCCTGGGTTTGGCTAAGCGGCTAACCAGTAAACATAAGGATAGAACATCAGGATAGGACTATCAGGAAGCATGACTACAAAAAAGGGAAGGCGTTAAACAAGTGGGCGTTTTTGACAAACATGGGCTGATTCATCCCTTCATTGCCTGAATGTTTGGAGACCTTTGCCCCTTGGCCCTAAATCCGTGGAAGGCCAGTGTGTAAAGTGCAATGTTCATCGACTGCAGCCTGTCACAGGTATCCTAAGAACATCATAGGAGTAGAACTTGGTACCCTCTGACAATTTCACATAGCTAATTCATGGCTCGTTTAGATCGATCATTTGACAAAAAAACGTGATTTTCCACAGCAAATCTTTGACCGAAAGGTATACGTTTGGAGACAGGTGTTGTACAGCTGCATCTGATAGTCTCATGAATTTGGATTCCCAACCTACCAATGCCATGTGAAATAAGCAACTTGAGGAGAGTTCCACAGTCTCACCTGAATTGTTGGTGAGGAACGTTCTGATACAAGACCATAACACCGTATACGTACTGGTTGGTGGTTTCAACACCTCCGAAAAATATGAGTCAATGGGCAGGATTATCCCATATATTATGGAAAATAAAAAATGTCGCAAACCACCAGCCAGTGTATATAGATATATAACTAGGACGAACTTGGAAACCAAACATGACCGTGTCCAATCATTCAGATCTTGAACCCTTGGATGTCAACCATCCAAGCCTCTCAAGTTTACAGGTAAATTCACTTCTGGAGGTGCTTACAGTTATGGCCCTTTACCAGTTCCAAGTACTAACAGAACCCCATTTATAGAATGTATAACCCCATAGAAATAATCAGTTATAACTACTAAATGGTCACAACTGTAGCATTTCCACAATTTTTTCCATTGTAATTGGCACCTTTCTGAAGGCCTTATGGTGGATAGCTAGCTTCCTGGCTGGACCAGCTATTGGGGTTGCGGTGCATTGAACTAGTCAAAGGGGGTCATGAAGCAACATACCTGAGCGAGCTCCAATCCCATTAAACATCATTAAGCAATTTGAAACCCAGTGAATCCCATAAAATCCCATGAGCTCCCATGAAATCTTATGGTAAAATCCCAGGGTATCAGCCAACGGCCTTCGCTTCTTCTCCCTCTGCTTCTGCCATTCATTCCTGCTCGCATCCGCCTCCTCCCCTGGCGCTCGTCAGCGACGGGCTCAACCGTGGGATCTATGGGGATTTCAGGGGGATCGAATGAGATGAAAAACGGAATATATCACCAACTCAATAAGACTTTGAGGTGGAATTTCATGGGATTCAGTGGATATCTAGGTTCTTGATTCTTGAGTGCAGAAATTTTAAATCTCCGCATTGTCGCTGCTTTCTGCAAACATCCCCATGTGTGAATCCACTTTTCATCACTTCACGTGGTCCATGTTCAGCCCAAAACCTGCGATTTAAGTCATTAGTTCCTAGACATTTCATGTATTTAGAAGGAAAAACAATCTCAGGTGTTCCCAGTTCCATGGGTAAACAAGTTCAGATCATCCTGGATACCTCCGCCCATCTCCAAATAAACACCAGACGGCTGCACGCACACGTTTCAGGATGATTCGCGTCGCTCGGGCCTTTGCGATGTCCTGAAGTCATCATATGACAAGGATCTTGAAGGTGGTGCCCCATAGTTAGCTAAGTCAGTTTACAACTAGATTGACTAGGGCTTTTGGTGTTCAAAAGTAATTATTTTGATGGGTTTATAAACCAGCTTACAACTAGAGGGCACCACCTTACAAGGGAATGAAATCAGTCAAATCTATATATAGTGGGATTCAAGCGGTTATCATTGTATAGTGTGTATATATATGTATATACGTAACTACAATCAAATAAACAAAAAAATAAATAATCAAATTGCTGCTTGTATATTTATCATTATTTATTGATAATCCAAAAAATCAAATGGTGCTAGTAAGGTACGACCAATACGAATCTCATCACAATATGATGGGATACATTTATAAATCATACTCGTAACATCTAGTCATCATATAATTAATTGTTTAATGCATCATTTCATCATCATCCTGTATCAGTTCATCATCATCCTACAATGATGGTATCACTGCCATTGAACTTCTCAGTAGCTAAATAAACCACCAGTATTGTTGTTAAATAACAATTTGGAGGTTTCCAATCCATGGGGGTACCAATAATTTATCATCCATTTATAGCCTTATAGCTAGGATTTTCCATGAAATAAACCATCTAGCTATTGGGGTACCCCTACTTATGGAAATCCCCATTTGCTACAGTTATGGCCATCGCTATTAGTTAAAACTGGTTATTGGATTATACATTCTATATATGGGGTTTTGTCAGTACTTACAACTGGTAAAAGGGCCTATAACTCCAAAAACTAAAGTTAATGGGGTTTATAACCCAACTTACAACTGGTATTTTGGGCCATAACTCTCTACCCATCGTCACCTGAAACGTCGGCAGAGTCCTTCCACGTCTCGCCGCTGTCTGGAAAGCCATCGATGGGAGACGCCCCCGGGTCTTTGCTCAACTTCTCGTCCTCCGCCACCTACCGGAATGATGCCGTGGCGCCAGAGGTGAGGTTTGGGTTGTGTTTTTTGATTATGCAAAATGGGATGTTTAGTTTAATATGTTGGATTAAACATAACTTTTTGGGTAGGTTTGAATACCGCAAAATATGCAAAGTGAAACGGGATAAGAGAGATAGTCTTGTAGGCGATGAGGACCACGCGTGACATCATCGCAGTGGAGTGACATCCAGCAGATGTCACAGATACATGGGAGATTCATTGCATCAGCAAATACACCATGGAAAGACTCACATCAAGTTGTGTTCAACGAGGGCAACCAAAAAAAGAAATCACATAGGAGCATTCTGCACTGGCGGCTTATACCGCAGATTCAGTTGGTGTTTCCGGACGGACACCTGCCATGCTAAGATAGCTTCTGAATTTTTGTCATGTGCGGGCCAACCAAGTCGCTGTTGGAGTATGCGCTCAGGAATTGCAGGAAGAGTAGCTGCATTTGGTATATGGGGGCATTCCCAAAACTCATGATGTAAAGAAGAAATGACATGACACTGTGGACACAGGCGTTGACCATCATCATCACTTCGATGGAAAGAAGCATTAGAAACAGATCCTCCGGTAATGATCGCAAAAGCATGCGATGTAGTTTGAGATGCTTTCCTAGCATTGGCACATCTGGTTTCGTCATAAGGAAAGTCTTGGCATAGGACTGCGTCACGGCGATTCGACGATTGCCAACATGTCCACGAGTGTGCACGAAAACCCTCACGTAATCGGTGCAAGACCAGATCAGTGTCAAGGGAAAATAAGTAGATCTGGGATTTAAAGAAATCACAGCGTTTGTCACTTCTCAAGGTCTCATTCGGATTCTCTCCGAACAGGGGGCGGCGGAGGTGGTGGCGGTTGACCACCACTTCCACTACCCACTCCACCCATCTTCTGCGGTGAATCAGCAGCGCGCGCACAATCAGTAGAAAATCACAGGAGACACACCACAAAGAGAAGAAGAAGACATGCGTTAATTTGTTTGGAAACGGAACTGGAAATACTGTTTTTACACCAGGAGGGTATCTGGTAGTGTTTGACATATCGAAGGACAGCACAAAGGCAAGTCTGCAACACCCATATCTTGGATATATTGCAATACTTGTGATAAACAAACAAAAAAGCATAAACCGAGAAACACATTCGTGCAGAACTTCCTGAATGAAGGAATCGGGCACGATAGTCGGTTCTGAGCCACCTTCTGCACTGCTGATTGTCTCGCTGCATTGGGTGGTGGCAGGGCTTGGTGGAGAAACAGTTTGATAAGGGTCCCTGACTGCTGAACTTTGATCTTCATCCATTGCGGCAGCAGCAGGCCGCAGATCAATATTGAAATCTGGTGCAAAAAAGTGTTCATTGGAAGGTCATTTTTTTTGGATTGCTTTTTAAGAAATGCCTTTGCAACATGCATGGTGTCTTGCTTCCTTGAGCATGCTTTGATTAACTCTCAACTAGTGCCGATTGTCAAAGGAGCCATGACAGGAAAGCTAAAGGGGCTGCAGAACACATGCGCCTCATCACTTGGAAAAAAACTGACATCATGAACCCTCCCAAACAAACGGCAAAGCGGCAAGGCCGCTGCACAGCGGTCAAAGGAAACCAGAAAAAGCGGAACACTGCTCGGCTAAACTGCGGACACATCTCGGTCTGCAAACAACAACGCGGCAAGGCCGCTGCACAGCGGTCAAACGAAACCGCGACCACTGAAAGCGGACCACTGCTCCGCTAAACTGCGGACACCTCATCCGCGACACTGGAGCGGTGCCATGAGGACCGCTGTCACAGAAAGCGGACCAAAGGTCCGCTAAATGGCGGTCAACACAACCGCCAAGGCAGGCTGCCAAACATGGCACACCGAAGGTTGGCTAAGTAGCAGTCATCATGAACCGCTCCAGTAAACAAGGCGACAAAGCCGCCAATCCAAAGGAAACCCAAGTGATATGAAAAAAAACGTGGATTCCTTGCAAGCTGCTTTTTCATCTCTTTTTCCAAATCCATCTCCAAGTCTTCGTCGGCTGTCATCTATCTACTCTGGTCATCATAATAAGTCAGCATCATAAGCTGGCTCCACGTGTCACTTAGGACACAGAAAACACCAGAAAAGCCAGCGCCTATTCTTTCCATAGGCTTGAGCAGGACTTCCACCACATCCATAGCTTTCTTGACCGAGGCTATGATTTCGTAGACATCCGTGTCGCCTCTGAGCAACACGTTGACCTTGAAAGCCATGGGTACCAAGTCCAAGCGCTCATCATACACCAAGGCCATCTTGAAGTCCACCTCGCGCAAAGGCTGACCCTCAAGGTGTTGCAGGAAAACGTCCAAGCTGGAAATGGCAATTGCCAAGGTAGACGCCCGCCTCAAACTGTCGGCGTACACAAGCTGCATCTTCATCAAAACTTGACGCAGAGATCGCATGTTCTCACGCAAGCCTTCATCGAAATCCCCAATCAGATCACGCAACTCCAAAAGATACGAGTGGAGTTCCTCTACAGTGATCTTCGGCTGATGCAGCAGCAGCGATGCCATTAGATGGCGACAGCACTATACATATATAGCAACCCAGGCTCTTTTTAAACAGATGGTCAGATGGTCTCTTGAGCCAGATTCCTTCAACAAAAAACATTGAACTTGTCTTCAGGTATTCGAATGTTTCATACCACTGCAACAGAGAGATGCGGCTTTTTAGCAGCGGACAAACAAAATCCGCTAAACAAACCAGTTTCCACTCTGCAGCGTCTTTTTCCCTAAAGCCGCTGCCAAACATTTGAACGTGAGGAACTTTCATTCCTTCCAAATCTAAAGGTCTACGCAGCCCTTCTTTTTTCCAACAGGATGGGGTGCATCCTGCAATATATCTGCACGTGCTGCAGCCACGCGGCATCATTTTGATTCTCCTGCTCTTCGATGGAACCGGTTTGCCATGTCCCTTTGGAATCACATCTTTCTCCTCTGCCTTCTGTGCTGCTGGTTTCTTCATAGGCGGTCCTTGGCTCTTTTGAGCTGAGGCTGAGGCAGGTCTTTTCATGTTGCAATTCTTGGTTGTAGGCTGATCATCAGATTTGCTTCCGTCCTGTCTCTTCACCAAAGCTTCTTGCAACCTTGCAACTGCAGCTTGAGGTGGAATCTTTTGGGCGACACCTTCCGCTGGTGCTGCTTCAATTTTCTCAACTCCTTCTTTGGATAACTCGACTTGACGACCAGTTTCCAACACCATGTTGATCTCTGCAGTTCCTGGCGTTGAAGTAGGAACCACAACTGAGGTATCCGCCACCTTCTCATCCTTGACACCTTTGTCACTGGCTGGTGAGTCCTGCTTTGTCTCGAGAGCACTGGGCTGGGCAGGCTCCAGTGGAGGAGCAGGCAAAGCCAGCAAAGGAGCCACAGGCGCAGCTTTTGCAGCTGCAACCTGGCTTTCACCATTGGACCCTGGGCCTCGATCAAACATCGTCAGCTGCAGCGGCGCATGTGAGGCAAACGGCCTGGGAAAATCCACCATAGGTCCTGCAAATAGAACCAACTGGAAAATGTCAGCTACAAGGATTAACAACAACAGGAACAACAACATCCCAAACATGGTCATATGTCATTTGGTTTCTAATGGTTTTCCTTTTTTTCAAAACAACAAAAACTTTGCTTCCCTTGAGTCCTGCATTTGGAGCCATCTGCCGCATCTGATTTTTATAAGCCATGTTTGGGGCTGACCACACAGAGAGTGCTTGTTGATACTGCTGGCTGCGCAAAGCCAATGTCAAGGATGCAGAATGCTTCCTGATTTGTTCTTCCAACACATGCTTTCTCAGAAAAACGCAAGCTGCAAGAAAACAAAATCTTTGACAAACACGATATAATAGAATCTAGTCACGAAGTGGAATGATGTCGGCTCTGGCCAAGAATGTCTGCATATTGATCTGTGGAGGCACTGGGGCTGGACCATGGTCGCCAAAAACTTTATGGAAAAGTTCTCTATCCAACAAATTCGGATCCGCAGGAAGCACTCGAATCATGGGAGCAAGCAGCTCCTCCCTCTTGAGACGGTTCAAGACTGCCTTGCCCTGGGTCTTTGTCGACAAAAACGAACTCCGAAGTTGAATTGGATCATCGAAGCGGGCCTCACCATGCAGCAGCAATAAGGCCGTTAAGACCCCCCAAGTTTCCTCCGAAGCGGAACGTAACGTCAGTTTGCTCAGGTGGGTCACCAGCTCTGTCAGGTGCAGACTCAACGATTGCGATTGCAAAGTGGGGTCCATGAGTCTCCTCCAATCTTCGGCTCGGGAATTTGTGAAGCAAAGACGTAAAATCTTGGCTAAACTGCCGGCCACCGACAGGAACCTGCTGCTGCCCCGCAAGCACCTTGTCTTGGACGACCTTAACCAAAGAGGTTCGTTGCTCTTCCGACCATGACATAGATCTCAAAATTGCAACGTAGTCTGCTCCATCGGAGAAGCTCAAAGCGGCAAGCTGAGTCTCCAAGGAACTCAGCAAGAGGTCAAACTGCTGCTTCCTCAAGTCAGCAAAGTTGCCCTCGTTCTCACATTGCTTCAAATAAACAGCCAAAGCTTCTAAACGGGGCTTCAAATTCGAAGCCATGCCAAAAAAAACTTGAGCACAGCAACAGCGGCACGTGAAAGCCGCTCTGTCACATGATTTTAAGCGACCTAGAAAGCCGCTGCACACAACAACATGTCTACCGTGTAAGCGGCCCAGTGAGCCGCTTACACAAAATGCGTATACGATAAGTGAAACTTTGAAAACGTATAAGCGGCCGGCCCACTCAGCCGCTGACAACAAAAAAACATCGCAAAACTTGTTTTCCAAGAAGACATCAAAAAAAACTATGGTTGCCGCTAAGTGTTTCTAAGTTTTCTAAGTTTTTGAACTTCCAGTTTTTTCGAAACAGCAACGCGCGCGCCAAAAACTTAGAAAAACTTAGAAAAACTTATAAGTACATATAAATTACGCAAGTAACATATAAGTAATTGCAAACTCTCTAAGTAGAACTTACGACTTGTCGAACTTAGCAGACATACAACATCTTACAGAAGGGTTGTAGAAGGGTTACAACCTACTTACAGATAACTTACAAGTACATACAACTTCCAAAACCAGGAACGGCCAAGGAAGCAGGGGGCACTTGAAGTAGTTGAGCATCCCCAGGCTTGTCCATGCACGATCAGGGTTGGTCATGAACACATAGGGGAAGTTGTTCAGGAAAGCGGGCATCTTGTCCTGCGACCTGGCAAATGAGCGCAACCTTGACCTCGTACCCTGGTGCATCCCGATGCCACTGAAGACAATGGAGTCCCCAATTGCTGATGGAGCCCCCAGATGGGCATCACATGCGATGAGGTGACCGGCCAATTGATCCAAAGTCTCAGGTGGAATTGGTTGCTCGTTCATCGTCAATCCTGTGAGCAACCGCGGTATAGCTCACTATATTTCAGGGGGTGAATCCGTGCTGCAGAGTGAAACGGGATAAAGTTGTTGGATCGAACACGGGCTATAGGAAAAACATGGAAAATTCCATGTAATTTGAGGGTCGGATGTTTTGGGAGCTCTTCAGAGATGTAGATGGTCTATCCGAAATCATGGGGAACCCCATGAATGAACCACGTGACTATTTCCATCTCGGAGATAGTTCTCAAAACTTGGGAGGCTTCTGGATTTCTCTTGCAACTGACCAAAAATGGGGAGTACCACCCCCATTTGAACACAAAATAATATCTGGCCATGGCAATTTAGAAACAAGGTGTTTTCTGTGTACACATGTCTTGCCCAAGGGATCCCAGCTGAGGAGAGGTTCCTTAGAGTCAAATACAAAGATTCAAACAATTAAAGGACCGGATAACCCCACATGTTACCAACTTCTTTAGACTTAGACTGACCATAGAAGAGCAAGAAGGGAAGAGGAAGTATAAGAGTGATGGAGCGGTGATGGTGGGTGAGTTTGTGTGTATGTATGTATGTTCATGTACAGTGAGTGAGTGAGAGTGTGAGTGAGTGATGTGAGTGTGGTGTGTGTGTGTGAGTGAGGGATGTGAGAGTGAGTGAAGTGAGTGAAGTGAAGTGAAGTGAAGTGAAGTGAAGTGAAGTGAAGCGGATAAGCCACCTGAAGGCCAAAAAAGGCCACCTGAAGGCCAAAAAAGGCCACCTGAAGGCCAAAAATGCCAGCAAAAACATGTTAGGGAGACGTAAGCTACCTATCGAACAATCTCTTTATCTATCTACCTATCTAATTATCTATCTATGCATCCATCCATGCATCCATCCATCTATGTCTCTATCTCTCCATCCATCCATCTATCTATGTCTCTCTCCCTATATCTCTCTCTCTCTCTCTCCCTCTCTCTCTCTCTCTCTCTCCCCCTATCTCTCTATCTATCTATCTATCGATCGATCGATCTATCTGTCTATCTATCCGTGCATCCATCCATCAATCAATCCATCTATCTATTTCTTTCTCTCTCTCTATCTCTCTATCTATCTATCAGACCTGTCTATCTATCTATCTGTCTATCTGTCCTTACATCAAGATATCTATCTATCTACCAATCAATCAATCTATCTATCCATCGATCGATCTCTCTGGCTATCTATCCATCGATCTATCGATCTATCTAGCAATCAATCAACAACCCATCCATCCTGCATGAGTGAGTGAGTGAGTGAGTGAGTTAGTGAGTGAGTGAGTCAGTGAGTGAGTGAGTAAGTATATGTAGTGTCCCACGCCTGCCACGCAAAAGAGGCGGAGCCCGAGGGACGCCAGGGCGTACATCCGACCCCTTGGCAGTGCACATTGTCCCACGCCTGCCACGCAAAAGGGGCGGAGCCCGAGGGACGCCAGGGCGTACATCCGACCCCTTGGCAGTGCACATTGTCCCAGGGACGCCAGGGCGTACATCCAACCCCGTCGCAATGCACATTGTCCCACGCCTGCCACGCAAAAGAGGTGGAGCCCGAGGGACGCCAGGGCGTACATCCGACCCCTTGGCAGTGCACATTGTCCCACGCCTGCCACGCAAAAGAGGCGGAGCCCGAGGGACGCCAGGGCGTACATCCGACCCTTGGCAGTGCACATTGTCCCACGCCTGCCACGCAAAAGAGGCGGAGCCCGAGGGACGCCAGGGCGTACATCCGACCCCTTGGCTGCTCACATTGTCCCACGCCGGCCACGCAAAAGCGGCGGAGCCCGAGGGACGCCAGGGCTTACATCCGACCCCTTGGCTGCTCACATTGTCCCACGCCTGCCACGCAAAAGACGCGGAGCCCGAGGGACGCCAGGGCGTACATCCGACCCCTTGGCTGCTCACATTGTGCCACGCCTGCCATGCAAAAGAGGCGGAGCCCGAGGGACGCCAGGGCGTACATCCGACCCCTTGGCAGTGCACATTGTCCCACGCCTGCCACGCAAAAGAGGCGGAGCCCGAGGGACGCCAGGGCGTACATCCGACCCCGTGGCAGTGCACATTGTCCCACGCCTGCCACGCAAAAGAGGCGGAGCCCGAGGGACGCCAGGGCGTACATCCGACCCTTGGCAGTGCACATTGTCCCACGCCTGCCACGCAAAAGAGGCGGAGCCCGAGGGACGCCAGGGCGTACATCCGACCCCTTGGCAGTGCACATTGTCCCACGCCTGCTACGCCAAAGAGGCGGAGCCCGAGGGACGCCAGGGCGTACATCCGACCCCGTGGCAGTGCACATTGTCCCACGCCTGCCACGCAAAAGAGGCGGAGCCCGAGGGACGCCAGGGCGTACATCCGACCCCGTGGCAATGCACATTGTCCCACGCCTGCCACGCAAAAGAGGCGGAGCCCGAGGGACGCCAGGGCGTACATCCGACCCCTTGGCAGTGCACATTGTCCCACGCTCCCCTGACACGCAAAAAGAGGCGGAGAGGCACGAGGGAAGCCAGGGAGTACATCAGACCCTTGGCAGTGAACATTGTACCCCGCCTTGACTGCCACGCAAAAAAAGAGGCGGGGAGCCGAGGGACGCCAGGGCGGACATCAGACCCCTTCGGTGCTCAAATTGTTTCCACGCCGGCACGCAAAAGACGGCGGGAGCCCCCGAGGGAAGCAAAGGGTACATCCGACCCCTTGGCAGTGCACATTGTCCCAAGCCTGCCACGCAAAAGAGGCGGAGACCCAGGGACGCCACGGAACGTACATCCGACCCCTTGACAGTGCACATTGTCCCACGCCTGCCACGCAAAAGAGGCGGAGACCCAGGGACGCCAGCGGAACCCCGGGGCGTACATCCGACCCCTTGGCAGTGCACATTGTCCCAAGCCTGCCACGCAAAAGAGGGAGTGGGAGTTGAGTGCGTCGAGGGAGTGTGTAGTGTGGGTGAGTGAGTGAGTGTGAGTGAACGTGAATGTGAGAGTTGAGTGAGTTGTGACGTGAAGTGAGTGGGTCGTGAGTGAGGGGTGTTTGTGGAGTGAGAGTGGTGAGTTGGGAGTGGAGGGAGTGAGTGAGTGAGTGAGAGTGACGTGAGTTGTGT